ACCTACTAAAGCTTGGTCCCAATACCAACCTAAGTGGTAACACCCAGAAATTGGAGACACAACATAGCAGAACGGACTGTAGTCATAACTTCTACTCCTTCAGAGTTGTCAAATGCTGGAATTCGCTAGTTCAAGCGACTTCCCAGGAGTCCTTTAAGAGACAACCTGATTTATTCTTATGGTCTAAGGATAATATCATACAATGATTTACCAATTTCTTTTTCCTCTTTTATCGTTGACATACCTAGGTTCCTGCCTGGAGGATTTCGTGATCCCCTGCTACTAGACACGGAAGCCTATTAAGCGAAAGTTTCTTCTATTCCGTCCACAACCATTTTAAACCATTTTTAAACCGGCTGATTTTCCAGCTCTTGATTTTTATTTCAAACTATTTGAGATAGTCAGTAAGCTACATGTACACAAAAGGCAAATAAAATGGCGGTTTTGAGTCCAAAGAAGTCAAATATGACGATTTTTGCGTAAGAACAGTCTAGCTACTTCAAGAAAGAGTAAAAGACTGGAAAACATAGTCCCAACCAGAAGCATTGTTACAAAATATAAGATAATATCATTTTAGCGATTTCTAAAATAGCTGAGTAATTGTGCGAAATAGTGCAACATTTTGGGAGATCTGCAAATTGACTTTTGTAGTCAATGACAATTGAAGAATTAATTTCATTTGCCGTGAAAATCACCGAAATGTATTCTGAGTGCTGTAAAATTATATAGGATTATACTTTGCTTAATAAGTGGGTTTATTTTTCGTGCCCTATTCGTAGTCTTACACAGTTATTGAGTCAACTAGAAAAATGTGTATGGTTAAATTAAATAGAAACAAGCGGAAGATGTATCATACATTGACTCCCTTGTCTGCATCATCCTAACCATGGGACAAGGCTGATCTGCTCCTTTAACAGACAAAATTGTACTTGTGTGAAAACATAAAAAGAGTAGCATAGGAAGGAAAAAACAACGCCGTTTTGCTTCCTGATCCCACACAATCTGTTATTTATGCTTCATCTTTTGCTGTTAACCTTGAGGAAATTCCGTAAACCGCTTGGCGTTTACTGATAATCTCTATTCTCACGACTGTGCTGAGAACGATATAACAACTGTAAAAGAGTTCGGTGTCGTTCCAAGGACCCAGCTAGCGATCTTAAAAAATAATGAAGACGAAGTCAGTGTGATATGATACGCTCATTAAAATACCTCAAAACTAATATGTAGTCCACGATACGGAGCTCCAATAACGAAATGCAACAACACTGACAGGAATAACCGTCGCTCAGCTGCCAGTAGTACTCAGTATGACATCCAACCGTTTCAAATTCCAAAGGTGTCTGATAGAATAAACTTTAATCCTTGTCTGTACAACCGGTAAAGCATCTAACAGGAATCTGATATTTAGATGGTGGTTAGAGGCAGTCAACAGGAAACCTTGAACCCGGGTTTCGCGCTACTTGGCACTCGTTAGCAAGGTGTACCTGTAATCTTGAGGGGTTTGGTGCTCCCTGGCGGATTCGATCTCGTGTCACGCAGCTTCACAGTCAGAGACGTTACCACTGAGCTATCTGAGCCGCGACTAACCTCCTGTAGCACTGAGATGTAATCACAATTGCTGACGAGTGCCAAGTAGCACGAAACCCGGGTCCAGGGTTTCCTGTTGACTACCTCCAACCACCATCTAAATCACAATATGTAGTGCCCGCAGTGTCGAGTCACCTAGACTGGTGGCCACATTGCAACATGATCGATAGCATTCAATCTGCACCAATAAGGACTAGACATGCATGACATTGATCACCAACCGGTGATCGATCAATTGTGAACAGGAATCAGTCAGGCAGTTCATTTTACAGTTGTTCCTCTCAAAGACCAGTAGTGTTGCTAATTTGCTCCAACTCGCCAAGTTGAAGGAAGTAGTCATTAAGATAAGAGAAATGATTTGATAATGAGTCATTATTTTTTGGTGAAAAGTTTTAGAATGTTTAGAGATAGGTATGTTTATAAACGCACACGTGTACACAGTAACATTATTTATAACTTCGGATTTGAAGTAAATGTCATATATGTAATGCTATGAATTTCAGTCGCCCAGTTCACAAGAATGATTCCGTAATTCGCTTTAGTTCAAGGAAACCGAATGTCGATAATGGGCACCAACTTATACACCGTAACTTAGACAAAATTTACACAAATAAGGACAATGTGGTACTAGCAAGAATAAATGTAAGTAGAAAAACAAACGCAGTATACAGGGATGATACTTCCTTCATCAGAAAAGGTAGCAAAAATTAGTGATATCTTTTACAACGAGCTGTTAAACACGAGCTTTCCTAATGACCCAGGAACAATGTCCTGTAATGCTATAACTATTCGGATGGCCTTAGAGGTGGAAAGCCAAACTGTAAGATAGTGATTATATTCGAAATGTGAAACAATTTGACTACGTCACTTTTTAATACAAAAATTGCTCAGTCCTTCATGGATGGATACAACTAGCTAAATCAGACAGGAGTAATCAGTACTAATGTCACCTAAAATGGCCACCGACGAAATACGAGTAAAATAAACGTAAAGGCTTTATCGGAAACCCAGGTGACGTCAAAAGGTTAGTCACTATCGATAATTTTCTGGCAGTATAAGACAGTAATTTCAGACAAACCAAACGATGAAAATAATAGATATGAATATAGACATCATTGGAGGTTAAGAAGGAAAAATACACCAATAAAAACGTACACGAAAGGATCCCACATTTTCACAAAGAAAAATACCATTTATGCGAAAAGTAGACAACTCGGTGGACATTTGGGCGAAAAGTGGGCGATTTGGCGGATATTTAGGCGAAAAGTCGGCAATTTATCGACAAAGCGGCAAAAAGAGGGAAATCCGCAGTATTTCCCCTGGACAGGCAAAAAGGCGACATTCTGATGCGTTTTCCCCTTTATTTCCTCTTTCTCTTCCAAAGCATTTACCCCTTTATTTCCCCTTTTTTGGTTGCTTGGGCTCCTACCCTACTATCACTCTCTACACAAACCTCTACATATCATACATTATTGCCAGAGACATTGAACAATCTCTCTATATCAACACGAAAGTAGTTTGAATTCAAGTGATTTGTAACGATACGTTGAAATTCTTTTGATTATCTGTTTAAATTACACTCAAGCAGCCCAAACGAACACTCTCGTACATAAACTACAGAACAAGGATGCATCATTGGATTTCCAACCTAATTAAAGAAGAGAGTGAATCTGAAATGAGAGAGGAAGATCAAGAAAAGGAAGAGGTCATGGCTAACTCTTTCGGGGTAGTTTTCACTAAGGAACCTCCTCTAGACAAAGAACCAGACCAAAACGAAGATTCAACAAACCATCTGCTCACCGTGGACTTCGACCCAGACGATGTGCTTAAGGCTCTTAGCACCTTGAACATGTGAAAATCAACAGAACCAGATGAACCACACCCCAAAATCTTGAGACGTTTTGCACAATATATCACGGCCTCACTGACTGTGATATTCAATATGTCGCTTGACCAAGGTGTGTAACCTATGGGCTGGAAAGACACAATCGTCACTCCCATACATAAAAACAGGACCAAGATAACTTCCATCGAACTACAGACCTGTAAGCCTCACCAGTATAGTAGTTAAAATATTGGAGAGAATAGTCAAACGGACCATAATGGCATTTATGGAAACCAATAACTTGCTAAACATAGAACAACGTGGTTTTAGAAAGGGTCTATCTTGTACAACGAGCCTCCTTATAACAACAGAATCTTGGACGAAGGTGCTAGACGACGGAAACTCAGTGGATTTTGTCTACATAGACTTCAGTAAGGCTTTTGACAAGATGCCAACTAATAGACTGCTATTGAAGTTGGAAAACCTTGGTATTGCCGGACCTCTTTTAAAATGGATTAAGGATTTCCTAGTAGGCCATAGACATAAAGTAAGAAAAAATTCCAAGTGCTTCATCTGGAAACCAGTACTTAGTGGAGTACCTCAAGGTTCCATTTTAGGTCCTTTACTTTTTATAATGTATGTAAATGATCTTCCAAGTATAGTACAGTCCCCAATGTTATTATACGCTGACGATGTAAAGATCTGACGAGTAACAACTGAAGACACAGATACATGTGCTCTTCAGGCAGACTTAAATAATATGATCAACTGATCTAAAGGATGGCTGATGCCTATAAACTCGGAAAAGTGTGCCTACATGCACTTTGGGAATTCAAAGGTTAATAGGTACAACGTAGGGGAAGTGCCATTACCCGTGGTCCGGTCCCATGATGATCTTAAGGTGACAGTGAGTCATGATCTTGAGACGACGGCCCATCGCCGGGAGGTCCCAACTAAAGAGTTTTCAACCCTCTGGACTTCAAAACGGACATTCACCAAATTAGATACTACCATGTTCACCACAGTATACACATCCTTAGTGAGAACTAAGCTTGAGAACTGCGTTCAGGCAGCAAGCCCCTGTTTAAAAGGTGACTCAAATATCCTAGAAGTACAGAGGGCAGCTACCCGTACAATTCCAGAACTCCGGGGTTTACCATACAAAGAGCGGCTTGAAAAGCTGGATCTCTTTACTCTGTTCTCTCGCAGATTAAGGGGAGATCTAATTTTGATGTACAGAATACTGAGAAATGATTTTGGACCTAACTTATTCTCTCTTTTTCCTCCCACTAGATCGGGACATCTCAGAGGACATAGTAGGCGAGTAGAAAAGTCAAGAATGAACAAAATACCCGTGGCATACTGGTTTTCACACTGAGTCATCAATACTTGGAACCTGCTGCCCGAATCAGTGGTGTCCGCATCTTCAATTGACTCTTTCAAGAGAAGACTGGACACTGGATACTAGAAAAAAATAACATAGGCCGTAGACCTTCTGTCATTGTTGCACAAATCTGAATCAATTGAGAGTTGAAATTCGCCTGAGAAGGTCAGGCTATTTATCAGCGCATTCTTAGAAAGTCAGAAGATGAACACTGGGGTTGACACAACTAAACCAACAACGTTTAGTGCAATTTTTAAGCACATTTCACCACCAACCGCTGTGGATAATTGCCTTTATTGCCACCTAATTCATCCTAAATTAAAAAACCTTGTCATTACTCGTGGTGGATTCGTTGAAATATATAATGTTAAATCCAGGTAAGTTTATTAGCTTCCCAGTTAATTTACAAGTGCTTCTGGGGAAACGCGATTTAATTGGGTATACGGAACATCCGTATACGAAAATATCGCTGACATTGTCACTGTACGCTTCACAGGTGATCTTTTAGATTCACTCCTTCTGAGTTTCCCGGAAGCTAAGGTAAAATTCCATCATTCTTTTTTTTTAAACCCGCAGGTTGCTGTAATGAACTTCAATCCTGTCACATTTGAACTAAGGACCTTATCCCTTCACAACTACGAATTTGAAAACCTTAAGGTTTGGTTGTTGTTATTCGGTATAATTAATGGCATGCATTGTGTTTGTCTTGTGGATATTTTACATAACTGTTATACTTCTTCAGCTAATTTCGCGACTGGACTTTAAAAGTCATCACAGCTGGGTACGCAGTAGGAGTCAACTCACTATATTAGCAGTAAACAGTCTTTGATTAAGTAAATACTAACGTTCGTAACAGGGTAACGCTGAGAATTTTGTTCGTTTCATGAAACATACTCATAATAAGGCCACATAGTATTAGTAGGTTCTCAACATAGTTTGTTCTTACATACCTTTTAGGTTTGCTTTGAAACAGTGGTTTTTCGTTATTGTAAACCTACATTGGCCATCTCACCACACAGAATAATAAGTGTTTACCCATTAAGGAAAATTCAGAGAAGTTTCTTTACATTGATCATGTAGCATATAGCACACTTTTACTCCTACATGTAATTTGCTTTGCTTTACTATGACATATTTAACTACCAAGTTGCCATATTCCCACGTGCTGTGTAGTTTGCATATCTGTACTCTCACAGAGACCTCTATGGTAGTTCTGTTTACAAATACACACGAAACTGAACCTTACTATTTGTCCTATAGTGTGAATTTTCCTAGGACTATACTGACTAATGCAAGGCTATACAGTTGTCAACACATCAGATCTATTCAGTAGATTTAAGACTGGCCCTAAGTCAAGCCCTCGTATCCTAGTATTGACAAATTTGCCATTATATCATGCATTTTGGAAGCGATATTTTCTTGATATCATCCTGTCCATGTGAGAGTAGTAAGTATATCTGAATTCGATTTATCTTCAAAGACTAATTATCGTCTTACTAGAACTACTTGCCGTTGTCTGTATTCTCTATAAATAGTGAAATCCAAACTAGTAACTCACTGTTATAGTCCAACTTAAACATTTTTTCGCTCGTTTTTTACTTTCATATTTCATCAGTTTGTTTCCATTCTAACGTAATTTTGTTCACCCTTGCATCGGCTTTACTGTCAAAAATACTATTCCGTTGTTTTGGCTTTAAATTTTCAATACATACGGGTTCTTGTTAGCAATTTATTGTATTTTCGTGGCATTCTAAGTACGTTTATTCTTATGGTCGTTTACCTGACAAGGCAATATCCCTTTAGTCGACTTCAGTTTTCCATTTTGACCTCGCTTTCTTATCTTCACGTCTTCACTTTTATACGACTTCCATCTGTATCTAGGTTTTGCTTATATGATCCTAAATTAGTCTTCGTTTTTTCTCACAGTCAGGTCGAATGAACTTTACAAAGCTTCCTATTCTAAGGCTAGATCCACACCAACGTTGTGCCGTTATGCTAGTATACGACCGTCATCTCGCCGTTTTACCTTTCCGACGTACAGAAGTTTTAGTGTCCGCAGAAACAGATCCAAAACATATTAGTGTCAGAAACTCGCTTTTGTGGCAGCAAAGAGCGACAGCACCATTATTAGCCACGTTTACGACGTGTCTAAGCACATCAACTGGAGAAAAGATTAACAATGTCCTTGACATGCAATTTCTTTACGGATTTTATGAACCAACATTGTTGGTGCTATATGAACCCATTGGTACGTGGGCAGGGTATGTTACTGATTTTGAAAATTACTTTCACCCAGACGCGTTTCAGCTCGAAGAGACACATGCTGCATTGTGGCACTATCTTTCAACCTTCAAAAGCGGACGAATCCAGTTATATGGTTTCAAGAATCTCTACCATTTGACTGTCGTTCAGTCATTTCTGTACCTCAACCAATAGGTAAGACATTTCGTCCATACTTGTAGCACTGTCAAGCTGTACTTGGTTGTAAAGTTAAATTATCAAACTGGGCTTACAGAAGAACCATTTTACGCTTATTCTCATTAGTGTCATTTCTACAGTTACACTTCTATCTATTCTATTCACGAGTCAGTCATCTAAAACGTAGAACCAGGCACATATATACATCGGTCCAAGTTGCTGTACCCCATTAGCACAACAAAACGAACCCCAAATTCATAGAAGCAGTTACTTCAATGGTAGTAATATATAACAAAAAGGCTGTATATAAAAGGACATGATACAGAGAGGAAAAGTTATTAAGTCAGACAAAGGAGTTATTTCCAAAGGAATGTGTTTAAAAAAGTTAACTTAAAAAATAAGGAAAGCGGATAACCCTGAAGAACACCATTTAATGTCATTATGACCAAGTGGTGCCTAGGAACCCACTCTGTATTACTGTGGTTGTAAAATATGACCTGTGAAAATCCAATACATAACTGGGCTACATGTTTTTGATCGCATATCTTCTAAATATTGCTTGCCTATGGTTTGACCAAAAAGTGATCAATAATGAGGTTAGGCATAGGATACTAAGGAAAGATGGGAGATCAGTTAATGAAACCGTAAATCTTCATCGGCTGAGATAACTGCGACATGTAATATATATGTCCAAATGCTCTGTACTTCGATGGTCAATTTGGTTAGGGTTCAAGCTAGTTGAGAGGAAGCTAGAGGCTGTCAAACCAATATCTGACACCAATCCATGTACTCATAGACTGTTGGTCTAAACTGTTTTGATATGTTTAGACTACTACACTGGGATCTACGCAGTGAACACAATAAATGGTTGAAGACATTGGGCGACATGACTAACAGTCATTCACGGTGACAAAAATGTCATCACTCCGTGTATTCCTCTGAGTCTTGAACTTCAATATTATTTGGTACTGTTTATTACTTCAATTTGAACTGTATTCTTCAGTGCTCAGTTTTGATATCGTTTATACACTAGTATTTCAACTCTGGCCATTCGTTTATTAGTTTTATCTTATCAGTATATCAGCTTGGTTTGACGCATATTCGTGCTACCTTTAACTGAGTGACTGGATATAAATCTCAGTGGTCGATGTACTTGAAAAACTGCTTTCGTGATAATGAATAAAGCAATTTGTTGAACGAAAGTTGAGATCAACTCTCAAGCTTTTTGGAAATTCACTTGATGAAATTGTTATCTTTTAGAAGTCTCATGTTAGTAATGTAAAGCATTTGGTGCATTCAACTACCAGGACATTTTTGACTCGATGTAGTATTTAATGTAATTAATGGGAATGCTTAGACTGCACTGGTGTTTATGTGACTTAATTTGGTATGTTTTGATTTACTCATCGTTTACACTACGTATGATGCATTAACTGAAATGGTTTCTTGTTTTTTTAGGTGGAGTCGTAGTTATGGCTGCAAATTCCATTTTATATTTGAAACAGACGCTCCCATCATGTGGTCTCCCACTAAACTGCTATGCACAAATATCGACCAATTTTCCTATGCGTAAGTCTTTCATCCCTCTGTTACTATATTGGTATTAAATAGCTAGTGTTAAAATGTAAGTTGTTGTTGGCAGTATCTGTTTCATATCTTATGTGCATATTATAAGCTTTATTTGACGTCAACTATCACTCGAGTTTGATTATTCGGCTAGACAAAGAAACATGAATTATCATTGCTCAAATAAAAATGAACCTATTGTTGAAATGTCAAAAAAGTTCAGATACAATAAGTGTATCGGTAGGTTACCTTGTGAATGGTATAAAACCGTTCATTGTTTTGTTCAAATTAAACATATCAGTCACTAAACTCTCCATCGATCAGCTTTTAGCTAAACCTGGTGGTTTGATGCTTGAAAAGAATATTTAATGTGTTCACTGGTTAGTGATCCCTGTGTATTAATTTATATTTCGACAACTTTAAAAAAGCTTTAAACCAGTATAGTGATTTATTCACTGGTATACGCTTGAAATTCTTCAGTCAAAATACTGTGATTAGGTTGTTTTCACGGCCGTCCACATGTGCATTTGCTGTTGTGGCTACAATTAAGATTTTTTAAACTGTATCTCTTATGTTTTTACGTATTTTGGGAGTCTCATCAGTACTGATGGTGTGGTGTCTGACAAAACCTCGGCATGGATTCAGAAGGCCCGATTGACTTTTACCAAATTGCGTCACTTGTGGCGTAGGCAACATAACCTTCCTCTAACCAAAGAGCAAGTTTACTGCGCAGCAGTTCTCTCCGTCTTACTTTTTGGATGGGAAACATGGCCATTAAGAATAGGGGATATTCGTAAGTTACTGGTATTCGATCTTAGGTGTCTTTTGGGACGACGGCGTAAGCAATGCCTAAGTTAGGAATAGAGCACTAGGTTAAGATGGGGAACTGATTGATAAGGTAGTAAATCTTCATCAGTTGAGGTGGTTGGAATATATGTTACGTATGTTCAACCACCGCCTACCGCGAAGGGCGATGTTTTCTGGTGTAGGAGTGGGCTGAAAGAAAGTGATGGCCGAACCAATTGGACTTAGCCACGTTGGTATGTATAAACTACCTGGTTAGTATCCACGTGATTATCGTAACCAGCGGTTAAAGACTTTGATTGAAATGGCTCAAAATCATTTTCAGTGGCGCAGGTGCATCTATTCTTTGTCACTTCCCAAATTCTGAGATTCTAAATTTCCCATACCCTTTTTTGTTTTTATTTCACTAATTTATATTTTCTCGAATCTCCCGACCGAAGCTACTACCTTGACGCGGTGGTCGGGCTTGCCTATCGTGATGACAGCAGTGATATCTGCTAGTACGATAACCCGTAAGGTTAGGGAGCAACACTGGATCTCAGCATCATCTATCGCACTGATAGATGCTCGGAAACTTATTCCACCTGGCTCTGAACATAATGAAGAGTGGAATCAGCTTAAGCCCAAGCTGACAAGAAGTCTACGCAATGATCGTGAACAGTGGTGGGTAGCGAAAGCAAGAGAGATGAAAAAGGCAGCGGCAATAGGTAATAGCAGACAATTGTTCAGACTTGTTAAGGAAACCGGTATTAGGAACCCGACTGTTAGCGAAACTATCTCGGAAAAAGATGGACATATTATTCACTCTCAATCTAGGAGATTGGATCGATGTGCAAAACACTTTAGGGATCAGTTCAACTGGCCTTCAGCCACACTTCGGTTTCCCACGATCTCCAGTCAACCTGAATGGCAAGTTAACGTAGGTCCTCCGTCTCTTTACGAAGTTGAAAAAGCCATAGGAAATCTGAAGGGAGAGAGAGCAGCAGGCCCTGACCGGTTTACTCCTGATATTTTTAAGGATGGTGGTTCAGTATTAGCAGTGAGATTAACTGAAGTCTTAGGCAGAATTTGGGAACTGGACGTAATCCCATCTGACTGGTGTCAATCACTGATTGTGCCAGTCTATAAGAAAGGCCCGACCGTTGTTGCTACCTTGACGTGGTGGTCGGGCTTGCCTATCGTGATGAAGCAACCGAGCTATACTGGCTGGAACAACCGTTCCTCAAGGTCCTACCATGTCAGACAGGTCGGTTGAAGAGCGGTAAGACTAAAAGCAACAAACCCAAGGTCCGAAGGCGAAGTCGTACTGCTGACTGTACAGAGGTGTGACAGCAGTAAGGTGTTTCCTTCAGACAACCAGCATGACAGCGATGCTGCCTTCCCACAAGGAGGGGTGGGGTTAGAAAAGGTCGACCCTAAAAATGCACACCTCGCCTTATCCCACGGATATCCGTCTCCGGCGGTAAGGTCCCAATAAGTACGGAGCTAACACAAAAATTACCCATAACAAGGTCGTGTGTGACCGACCTCAAGCAGTTGTCCCTTGGGCACTGCGGTCACGCTCTCAGGTCACTAAGACCACCTTTAATCCAAATTCCTTTTCAGGTACCTCCAGAACAACCCTTCCACGGTGTGGGCAACCGGGAAGTGAAAACCGCCCTCATACCTCTAACAGCACTCAAGACCACTGTATTCATAATCAACCTTCCTCTTCAATTCCTATTATTCCTCCTACATCGACTTTCAACTTTAAATTTCCTCTCTCGGCTTCCACCTCAAGTGTCACCATAGCCAACGATTCTAGTGCGCAAAATACTGTCCCAGGTCTACTGAAACCTCGCTCCAAACTACACATTGGAGCCTTCAACGTACGAACCCTATGTCAAATTGGTCAGCAGGCTTCCTTGGCTAAAACCCTAGAGTCTCTTACCATTGACGTGTGCTGTGTCTCCGAAACACGCATACAGGATTCCAGTGTGGTCATTCACCTGACCTCACCTCGGCAAAACGGAGAGCCAACGAGGTACACCCTTCGTGTATCTGGTGACCCGATGGCAAGTTCTCGTGGACTGGCAGGTGTAGGCATAGCACTAAGCATGAGGGCCGAACAAGCACTGCTAGAGTGAATCCCCGTCAACAGTCGTCTATGTGCTGTTCGGCTGAACGGCTACGTAAGAACTCGGAAGAATAGGGACACACGTCGTTGCCTTTTTGTCGTTTCTGCCTACGCTCCCACTGACTGCAGCTCAGATGATGTGAAAGATGAATTTTACAGAAAGCTGTCCGAACTTCTTCAGAAAGCTAAACGCTCAGACATAGTACTCGTAGCAGGTGATTTTAATCCTCAGATAGGCAGTTTAAACCAAACAGAAATGCATTTAGGTGGATATTTTAGTATTCCGACACAGCGAACAGACAATGGTGAGCGTCTGCTGCAGCTATGTTCAGACAATCGTTTATTTTTAGCAAACACAAATTTTAAGCATAAGGAGAGACATCGTCTAACATGGCGACCCCCTACACCAAACCAACGATGGACTCAAATAGACCATATTGCCATCAGTCATCGTTGGAGAGGGTCGGTACAAGATTGTCGCTCATTCTGGAGTACCTGCTTGGACTCCGACCATGCCCTAATACGGGCACGCATCTGCTTGCGCCTCACTGGACGCAAAAAAGCCACATTAAAAAGACCCGTTAGAACTGATTTGAGTAACGAGAAAACCAAAAGTAGGTTCCAGGAACAACTGAGGTCACACTTAGGTAGTTGTGAAGACGAGGCTGACCCAGATGTTGCTTGGAAGGGCATACAATCAGCTGTGGAAACAGCAGTGACATCTATTAGTGACTTAAACCACAGAGTTGCAAGGAACCAGTGGATTTCTTCAAGGTCTGTCACACTGATGGATTCTCGCAAACTCGTCCCATCAGGTCCTGAACATGATGAAGAGCGAAAACAAATCAGATCTAGGTTAAGAAAAAGTCTAAGGAACGACCGTGAGCAGTGGTGGGTAACGAAAGCAAAAGAGATGGAAAAGGCGGCGACTATAGGGAACACAAGACAGCTTTACAGACTAATAAAAGAAACTGGAATTAGTAAGTCAAGTGTAAGTGAGATTATTTCGGAAAAAGATGATACTCTCATCTGCTCCCAGTCCAGACGTTTAGAACGATGGGCGGAACATTTTAGAGAACAGTTCAGCTGGCCTTCAGCTACTCTACAACTACCCTCCATTCCCAGACAGTGTGAATGGAACATTGAAATAGGTCCCCCTACTCTTGCTGAAGTTCAAAAGGCTATAGTTAATCTGAAACGAGGAAGGGCAGCTGGTCCAGATGGATTGGCTCCAGAGGTCTTTAAGGATGGTGGTCCAATTTTAGCGATTAAGTTGACTAATATTTTAGCTAAGATCTGGGAATTAGACTTTATCCCATCTGACTGGTCGCAATCACTTATCGTCCCAATATATAAGAAAGGGTCAAAATCATCCTGTGACAACCACAGAGGGATTAGTTTAACAAACATAGTTTCTAAAATACTGGCCTCGATAATTATCAAACGCCTAACTAAGACTCGTGAACTACAAACTCGAGAGAACCAAGCTGGCTTTAGACCTGGTCGTGGCTGCATCGACCACATATTCACCATTCGTCAGGTTCTAGAACACAGGCATACCTATCGGCGTCCGACGATGGTGGTCTTTCTTGACTTAAAAGCAGCATTTGACTCGGTAGACCGCGAGACTCTGTGGCAGTGTCTGTCATTGAAAGGCGTACCTCAGAAGTACATAAACCTTGTGAAGGCTCTTGACTCGAACACTACTAGTCGAGTCAGGGCTTATGGCGAACTGTCATCTACTTTTGCAACCTCAAGTGGTGTCCGTCAAGGCTGTCCACTTTCTCCATTTCTGTTTAACTTCATCATAGACCTATTGATGGAAATAACACTCTCGTCGACTGAATTCTCGGGTATTGATCTCCTTCCAGGAGGTCCACTTATCGACTTAGAATACGCAGATGACATAGTCCTATTTGGTGAAGACGCTGACAAAATGCAGAGTCTTCTGGTAGCACTAAGCAACAATGCCAGAATGTTTGGGATGCGCTTCTCTCCCTCTAAATGCAAGTTGTTGCTTCAGGACTGGTGTGCGTCAACACCTGAACTAAGGATAGGGAGTGAAGTAGTCGAACGCGTTGATAACTTCACTTATCTTGGAAGTCTGATCAGCCCTAATGGGTTGGTATCGGACGAAATCTCAGCACGGATTCGAAAAGGTCGTTTGGCTTTTGCCAACTTGCGTCACCTTTGGCGAAGGAGAGATATCCGTCTATCAATAAAAGGACGAGTATACTGCGCGGCAGTTCGTTCTGTTTTAATTTACGGCAGCGAAACATGGCCCTTAAGAGTAGAAGACACCCGTAAGCTACTAGTATTTGACCACAGATGCCTTAGAAATATTGCTGGCATCTGCTGGGATCACCGGGTAAGTAATAGTGAGGTTAGACGCAGGGTATTAGGGAATGATGGTAAATCAGTTGATGAGGTTATGAATCTTCATCGACTGAGATGGTTGGGCCACGTATTACGTATGCCTGAACACCGATTACCACGACGTGCAATGCTAACCGGTGTAGGGGTTGGTTGGAAGAAAGTTAGGGGCGGCCAAACCAAAACGTGGCATCAGTGCCTGAAGTCACTAACTTCTAGTCTGAGCCATGTTGGTAGATGCAGACTAGTTGGTTGGGGTCCGCGTGACTATCGTAACCAATGGTTGGAGACTCTTGGTGACATGGCTCAGAATCGATCACAATGGCGTCGGTGTATACACTCCCTGTCTTCCCTTAAACTAAGAGACTAAAATCACTTCATTCTTTCTGTCTACGAACTAATTCTTTCTTCCTATACTATATCCTTATTGCAACCTTTGACCTAACCACTCCTATGAATCCGGTGTTCATCTTGCTGTGCTAATGAGGTATGGCAACCTGGACCGATGCACATATGTGCCTGGTCCTACGTTGTAGCTGACTGACTGACTGACTATAAGAAAGGACAAAAGTCCTCTTGTGACAATCACAGAGGAATCAGTTTGACTAACATAGTTTCTAAAATATTAGCTTCAATAATACTTCAAAGTCTAACCAAAGCTCGTGAAGAGCAGACTAGAGAAAATCAGGCTGGTTTTCGACCTGGACGTGGTTGTATAGACCAGATACTCACACTACGTCAGGTTCTAGAACACAGACACACGTTCAGACGCCTCACAGTCATGGTATTTCTCGACTTTAAAGCAGCATTCGACTCTGTTGATCGTGAGGTTCTATGGCAGTGTTTGTCACTGAAAGTAGTACCAAAGAAGTACATTAACCTTATAAAAGCTCTCTACTCGAACACAACTGGTAGAGTGAGAGCTTATGGCGTACTGTCATCAGAATTGATTACCTCAAGTGGTGTTCGTCAGGGCTGCCCACTCTCTCCATTCTTGTTCAACTTTGTCGTCGACGTACTTTTAGAGATAACACTTTCCTCGTCTAGATTTCCAGGGGTTGAACTTCTACCAGGAGGTTCACTTGTTGACTTAGAATATGCTGATGACATAGTTTTATTTGGTGAAGACGCTGACAAAATTCAGAGTCTTCTGACCACTCTAAGCAACAATGCAAGCATGTTCGGGATGCGATTCTCCCCCTCGAAATGCAAAATGTTGCTTCAGGATTGGGTTGCATTGACACCCGAACTAATGATAGGGAGTGAAGTAGTTGAGTGTGTCGATCGCTTCACTTATCTTGGAAGTCGCATCAGCCTTTGTGGTCTGGTGTGTGATGAAATCTCAGCACGGATACAGAAGGCTCGACTAGGTTTTACCAACTTGCGTCATTTATGGCGTAGGCGAGATATCCGTCTATCAACCAAAGGACGTGTTTACTGAGCAGCAGTTCGTTCCGTCCTACTTCATGGCAGTGAAACATGGCCGGTAAGAGTAGAGGATATTCGTAGGTTACTAGTATTTGATCATAGGTGTCTTCGAAATATTGCTCGTATATCCTGGGACCACCAAGTCAGTAATACAGTCGTTAGGAAACGGGTACTAGGTAAGGATGGCAAATCCATTGATGAAGTAGTGAAACTTCATCAGTTAAGATGGCTGGGACATATGCTACGTATGCCCAACGACCGACTGCCTCGACGTGCGATGTCCAGTGGTATAAGAGTAGGTTGGAAGAAAGCTAGGGGCGGCCAGACCAAAACGTGGCACAATTATATGAAGGCACTGACAAGTGGTCTGAGTCATGTTGGTAGGTGTAGACTACCTGGTTGGGGACCGCGAGATGATAGCAACCGATGGTTAGAGTCCCTGAATGACATGGCTCAAAATCGTTTGCAATGGCGCAGGTGCATACACTCTTTGTGTTCTCCCAAATTTTGATCTCCTTATTCCTCCTTGTCTCTTTTTTCTCTTCCCAAATTTATTTCACTGTATTATACTCTTTAAATAACATCTCCAAACACTAATTTTCTTGATTACTGCTTATACTCTTATTACCTCTACCACTACGGGGTTTTAATCGACCACTGCATCTGTGTGCTAATATGGTGTGTCAACTTGAACTGACGTACGTACGTACGAAGTTCTACGTTGTTACTGACTGACTGACATATCTTCTCTGCATTGTCTTTCATATTACCATTGATAGTGTTACTACCCTTACTATTCTGTGATTTGGCCTAACGATTTCATCTCTCCGTTCCAATGGAGTATGGCAACTTGAACCGGGTTCTATGTCGTGACTGACTGATGTTTTAAAAGTGGCCGATTCTCATTTCATTACTCCGTTAGGATAGTTCTTCAATTATTTTACATTGTGGTTTGATAATGCATCTTCAAATAATCCATTCATAATTTAGAAATCTCACTAAAAAGACCTATTCTGCGTAATAGAATATTACTCACTCATTACGTGGTTTGGAAGTCCTGGTTTGAGGGTGTCAAACAGAAAAAAGTTTTCTATTGTTCCCGCACTATTAATGATTTTGCAACTAATATTATTATGTTTGGGTAATGCTATTGTATAATCTTGTTATACTTTTCGTACTTTATAAGTTCTTATTTCGTTTTTTGATTTGTAGGTCAAGACGTGCCATCTTGCGGTCCGTTAAGCATTGACGGTTGTCGTGTAGTTACTTTAAATGAAACACAGTTTTTGATTGGTACACGATCTGGGAATCTCTATTTGCTCTCACTCTGGCTTGAACAAGCCACTCAGACTGTGACCAGTTTGCTGTTTCATAAAGTTGGTCACGCAGTACCTCCTCAGTGTGTAAGTGCTGTGTTCATTTCCAATCTAAACCTAGAGGAAATATCAGCTTGCTTTTATAAGTTGACTCGTAATAGTCTCTAATTTCAGCAATTTTTTCAGTTAAGTTAATTCTATATTAATTGTCTAAAATGAATAAAGAGTACGTTATGGAGTATAAGGCGTCATCCTAACAATTAATACTCCATATATTCAAAACCCATTTTTCTAATTTTCCAGATGGTTCTTCTAGAATCGAAATATCTATTCATTGGTTCACGCTTTTGCGACTCTGTCTTAATGAAAATCGATTATTCTTTATTATGTGTTGATGCAAATGGAAAAGAAGTAGATCATCAGCTGTTAGATCAATCTAGTGGTACTAATAATACGTTAAAGAATTCAAAACTTGCAGATGGCAAAAGTATTGTTGAAGACGATTCCGATGAGGTTAGTTTCTTTATTGACAGCCAAAATATTCCAATCGCTTACGTTTCAGTATTATTCACGAAGTAATTAAGTTGTATAATAACCAATCTAAAAAACTGTTAAGTCCGTATGGTTTTAGGCTTACAACCGAAATTTTGGTCCCTTTACGCGTTTTAGTAGATTTTCTGTTTTATTGATACCAAGTTCTGACCGGATATTTTAACCAAACCAGTTAACTAACCAAGTTGTAATGGTTGAAACCACAATTGCTTGAGATTTCATCAAATCAATAAACGTAGTTGAAATCAATAAGACCGAGGACCTTTAATGTCTCAACATGCACGACCACACAGTGATGGAACTAAATGATAGAGAACAATAGGCTATAAAGTGTGCTCTTAAAATTTACGTGTTCACCTCATCATATAATAATCTGTTGTAGCCGAAAAGATATTTTAAGAAACACAAACTTTACGGAACAACCTCAAACAGCCTGTTCTGTAGTTTACACCAACATTCACATTCCTTCCATACACCCAAAGAAATCTATTTCTTTTATCGGATTATCTGAAAATAATGATTCTCATGTAGATCTCCAACAGTGCAGTGATTCCTCTTAATCATTGACCATGTTTCTATTTGTTTACTAATATCAGTACATGTTTCAACCGTGACGGATGTAATACATAGTTTCACCTTGATCTAGGCTTAAGCATATCTTGGGTAAAAATGAATTCTCGAAATATAGTTTATTATTTTGCTTGTTTTAGAGTTTCAATATCTAACGAAAATATGCTTTCTATGACAAATCAGCCAACTCTGGAGTAACTCAATGTTATCGTCTTTGTTTGTGACACTAGATGATGTATATTTGAATCTGATAGGGACTATTGGTTCACTGTAGATTGTAGATATAACTTACTTAAAAACAGCAGTCTAGCAAAAACGTAGATCTAGGCGTTTTTGTTGATTACTTTCAATCATCTAACATAAAAATCAGATATTGGTTTATAAGTTAATTTTGTAGTAGTAAGATTATTTTCTGTTGATCGTAAATTCTATAATAATCATAAAAATATATCCTATTAATTATTATACATTTGATTATATGTATTTTTTCGTGTGACATTTCTGTTTTAATTTCATCTTTTGATCTTCATCTCGTTTAGATTCCTAATAAATGTCCTCGTATAGAAAGAGAAGGAGAAAACGACAAGATGATATCAAAGTCGCTATCACAAAGTACAAAAAGGAATACACTAAATGAAAGTGATATCGTATCAGACAATCATTATAAATTTGATGACGTCGATGTTGAACTCTATGGTGAAAGTATTCTTAGTCCGCCTTCGATTTATCGAGAAATTATTAATTATAGTTTTAAAGTAAGTTTTTTTCTCATACCCTTTTCCATTTCAGTGAGACTATAAAGTTTTATTCTATCGAGTTGCTGTCTGTCCATACGGATTAGTGTATTTCAAAGAAGCCTGAGATTTTCAGATTAAATGCTTTTCGTTTATAGTTTTAATGGAGTCTTATAGGTGTAAGCTACTGTCCATCTTACGTAATGCTCATTTTGACATAGTTATTGCCTAGTTTTACATTCTCTGAAGAAATTATTTTGAAAAGTTCTATGGCTAGGCATGTTTTAGAACTCGATTCACTTTAAACTTAACGTAAATGTTTACATAAAAACTTTATGGAGTCACTATCATTTTATTTGTTTATGACACAAAATCTTTGTGTAGTGAAAACACCGGCGAATTCCCAAAAGTACTTTTTATGCTTTGCATATATTCAACATTCTTTTCAATTCTTTCTAGGTAGTAGACCGATTGATCAACTTGGGACCAATGGGACAACTAACGTCTGGTGAAGTTCCATGTTTAGCTCCTGGTAATACTGATCCTACAGATGAGGCTCTTACTTATGCACAAGCAGAGATGCACCATGTTGAGTTAATGGCATGTATACCACGTTCATTTAATGTACCAACTGAGAAGAATCCGGTTTCTGGTGGAGGTGTAGCACTTTTGCATACAAGTGTAAGACCAAGAGGTTTAACTGCTTTTGAATTGCCTGAATATATGAGTTTATGGTCCCTTTATGGTCCACCTATAGTTACTCCTGTTCAAAGCATTCCTTCCTCTCCTGTTAGTAAACCTTCAATTGGAACAAACAGTAGTCCAACCACAGCTTCAAACGGAAAACTAGAAATACCAGACATTCATTCAGAAGAAGAAAAGATAGATGAGAATTTAGTAGAAAAACCAACAGAACTCAACGAAGATACTGAGAAAACTACAGGTGTCACTGAATGCAGTAAGTTTTGTAACCTTTATTCATAATGTGATTCATAACTTCCTATCAAATTTAACTAATAAGAGATCTTGTACAGTGGTTAGTTAGTATACGTGTTCGTTAAGGAATATTTTCACTTTTTTCCCAGGTAAACTCTTATTCATACCTCCCAATTATTAATCCGTTGTCAATGTGAATCGATATTTGCAATGGATTACTGTTATAACTTAAATGTTTCTAGTAAGAATTCAAATCTCCATAATTAAAAGTATCTGAATTATTCAAAAATTATACGTTGTAATTGGTTACATTGTTGTAAGTAGTAAATGATACTATCACGACTAAGAAAAATACAAGTTTCCTATCGTGATGATTCATTTGACCGAAATTGAATGAAATGCTCATTTCTTGAGCTCATACCGTTGTATGGAGACATAAGAAAATGTTAGAATTTACTTGATAAATTCGTGTCCGCGACTTTATCGAGACATTTTGGTAGAAGTGTTTTTTAAAGAAAACCGGTATACTGAGAGATAATGTCTTCTCGTTTTTTGAGGAGAGAGTTAAAAATATCATCTTACTTCGTGGGGTTCCGTTGTTAATTGTATAATCCTAAAACATGTTGACACATTCTTAAGTTTAAAATCAAATATTCTCAAAATGATTGGTTTTGGTTGAGCTCTGCATTTTCTCCTTATGTAATTAAGATGATTTTGGTTTTCTTTAGGTTCTGTCAAAGAGAAACAATTTCTAAAATTGTGAGAAGGGGAAAAAGTCATTTGTTCTCACCTTACTAGTGTCGTGGACGATACTGACAGGGTCGTTTGTAAGTAGTATATAGCGGATCGTGGCATCAAAGTTACAACAATTGTCAGCCGGAGTGAAGTGTTTCTGTATACTCAAAGCATGGAGTTGTCAGAGCACACCAAAAATGCAAATGGATGATTAAAGGTTATGTATATGTATTATATAAATACTTAGTAACTTCTCACAACAAATATACCTTCCTCCTTCCTCTTGACTGCTTACGCTAGAACCAATAGTGTTTATCACGCCTGATCAATAGCTCACTTCATACCATAGAGATAGTTCATCATATAGGTCTTCTATTCTGTTTAACATAACTTTGTTTTATTGAATCTCGCTTCTCTTGTTGTTTTTGTTCCAGTTACAGATAATGATACAGACAAAGAAACTTCTAAGGATAATGAACCAGTTGTAAATATATTTGATGAAAATGAAAAAAAAGTTGTAAATGAAGACAATTTTGATGCAGAATCGGAGCTATCTAATGATCTAACACATAGTTATCTTTTACTGACTAGAGAAGATTCTACAATGGTATGGTTCGTTTTGTAACGTCTAGACTACTAATTTTTTTGTTTCTAACCAATGGTTACCAATTTAGTAATTGAGGTAAATAATATAGTGTAGCGTTTAGCTGTATTTACCATTAAGTGATTTCGAGTAGCCATAAGAAATTCATATAATTACCTCTCACATCATCACTAATTGTCTCTGGCCTTGTCCATGTTACCACCTTCTGAAAGACCCAGTAATAAGTAATATCTCTTTCCATAAAACTATATAAAAAAACTCGTCTAACAGTTTTAATTTGTATCCTACATTTCTGAATTTTATATGCACTTACTGTATATAATTTTTCATTTGTAATTTCATCATTATTGTCTATTTTCTGCTTATTATTTGCACTAAATTTTCATGTAAAAATTAATATTAAAAAGAGAGGACATATTAAACTTTCCAACAAGTTCCAAATAATTATTTATCAAAAGTTAATATTCATTAAAAAGCTGTTGAAAACCCGATATCATCTTACTCGTAGTGGATACAGTTTTCGCAACAATTCAATACATGACTTTGATACTTAGCTATAAACAAGGTTATCTTTTAGCTATTGAAGTTTAACACCAATTACGGACAGCTTTACTATCGTTTAACCCACGTTACTGATGCATGTAATGTCGGCGTTCGAAAAGTTTCATGAAACATTTTTGTACTAACACATGTTAAATATATATATATATATATATGGATATACAGAATAATTCATTTAGTGTTTAAAGCGCTCAGCGTTCAACCAGTAGGTCACAGGTTCAAACCTACCTCCATCTACTTTGGTTTGGGTGGTCAGGTGGTATCATCAGCTCACACAAATAAATTGTATGGCTCAAAGTTGAGTACCATAAACTTATGCTTGGCTTATGAACTACGCTAAATGGAATAACTGGAGACGACGCATATTTGTTCCAGGTACGGATTGTTTTAGTTTAATAACCTACGGAATAAATCGTCTCACGAATCCACATTATTTGAGTTATTGTTTATCACTCATATAGACTAAAAATTACAATTACCCATCTTTTTTAACGACTAAGTAAAAGTCTAGTCCAATCGAATTGCGAAAAATATACAATTGAATATTAAACCTTTTCCTAAATCTTTAATCACTATGTTTCAGTGAATCTAAAATTCAGAATATGACGAATTGTATGCAAAAAATTACTAAGATTACCATAAGTAAATGAAAACTGACAATAAAAATCATGATTCAACAGTGACATGGTTTCACTGTATTCTGAAATGTTCTATGTCGATAATAATACAACTTGTATAGGAAAATAAGTTGATCGAAGTTCAATCTGTTAATTATTTTTATATTGTTTAATCATACAATAAAATTTGTTCCTTTGTGTTCAGTCTCTGTAAGGTGCGGCATGACTTTCCGTCAGTGCGATTTATCAGATTAGTTTAAAGCAATAACTCAAATACTTCATATTACCTAGAAGAATTATGTAATTTACAATTAATATCACCTACACAACTCTTCTAAATAAATATCTACTAACATAAAGTGAATAGTTATGCTTAATCCTATCAAAATGTTTAATGAACAGCAGTAATTTGTTATTTTGTATATACTTTTATAATTTAAAGATTCTTGAAGTGAGTCATGAAATAGTGGAACTTGAAGTAAGTGGATTCAATACTACAGAAATGACTGTGGGTGCATTCAATTTGGGTTTTGAATACATTCAACAAGTTAGACGAGAAACAAATAAAAACAATAATGATTCTGATAATATGCCAGATCAATTGACTAATTTTGCAACCACTAAGTTAACCAAACGAAATGAAATGAAATCTCCTAAAGAATATATTGTGGGAATTGATTATCCCTACATATTACAGGTTAGTTAGATTTTCAAATATTTATCATTATCTCTAATCTATGCAAAAAGCATTCCAGTGTTATACCATTTTTTTCTGATAAGCTATTTTATAGAGGGGGAAAAGTTGGATTTTTAGTGATCACTCTGTTCATTAACTGTAGATACCTGTTAATTTTGATATATTCTGATGTTTATTACTTAAACACTTCATTGACATTACGTTGCTTCATTATTGTGTAAACTTTTCTTTCTAAACGCGTATGTTTGTTTTATTTTGTTCATGCTTATAGGTTTCACCTACATCTTTACGTTTACTTGATGGTCCAAGACTTATAGAGTATGTTCAAGTGACATTAGAATGGCGTATACATTTAGCTAGTTGTGCTGATCCTTATATTTTATTATGTACTGAAGATGATGAATTATTTTTAGTACGGTTAAAAAGTCAAGATGACATTAATAGATTTAGTCCAATAAAAAAGTCAAATAATAAAGTTATTACATCTACACTAATCGATGAAAATGGTGATCAACCTGCAAAATCAATATCTACAACTCATTTAGAAGTGATCAGACCGAAAGTTAAACAGGTAAGAAAAAATAATGATTCTGTCTTATTTTTCTAGTATATTTTTTGTCAAATCATCATAGTTGTTTATAAAAGTTATTATTGAATTTTGACCTGAAGTTGAATCCCGCAAGGATTCGAAACATTGATCATTGAATCATATAACCAATTTTCAGTCGACTGAACTATTAATATCCCATAGAAGTTTGCTCATTTGTAACGCTTTCTAAATATTTTCTTAAATAACTTGCAGTTTGCTCTCATTTATTGTTACTTAACCAGTTCTTAAAGTATAAAACTTGGGAGAATATTTGCTGTTAGTTTTCGGATTTCACTCCAAAGTTTATTGTTTACCTTCAAACGAATGGAACCTTCTAAAAGATGCTAGAATAAAGATATAATTATTGGTAAATCATATAAATAATGTATCAAATTGAAAGTCATTGTAATAAATGGTAGTTTCGGAAAGTTTAAGGATGTCGCGTTCTCTTAACTGTGTTCTTTCATTAGGATCCTAGGCACCATCATCATCGACACTTGTTCCAAATAGAAGTGAGCTTCTCAGATGCATCCCATAACTACTCAATCGATCCGTTTTAATAACTTGGTTTGTGATTGTTTGTCCTAAAAACCCTATTATCTTCATGTGTATTTGTACTCCCACTAATTTTTTGTTAGCCATAACCCCAGAAAATTTTCACATATCTCATATCAAATTTCTGATGATAATTGGTTGAGTTAATAGTCATCTTTAAATGAAGTTGCAATGTAATTAGTATAGTCATTCAATAAATCATGAATGCATTTCATTTTCTTATATTTAGGTATCTGCACCGCTTTGTTTCAGTTTATATCATGATTATGCTGGACGTTTAACTCGATGGCTGTGGGCTTGTAAAGACTTACCAGCTGACAATTCATTTTTCAACCTACACACAACTGCTTCTGTGGATCACTTAGTTTCTTGTCCAGGAATTACATCTTGGCCAGAACCTGGGTCAACTACTCCAGCTGCGGATTTCACAGCACCATTCGCTTCACCAACAGAGTAAGTATTGGTGTTTGATTTTTAATAATTAAGATTACTCCATCCAATTCAACTTGTACTTAGTATATTCTTGTAACATTTTGTTTCTTATGTTCAGGAAATCCGCACAGTTGATCAGTGCATCAGAAGAAGAAAGTATTCTACTTTATGGTGAACCAATTGAAATTTGTAAAAGAGAAGGTTCTGTAGCGCTTGGTAATAGTACATTGCAACCACCTAAATTTTCTCTGTCTACTACATCTCATTCATCTTTAAACAATAGTTTGACGGAAGCTAATGTGTAGGTTAACTCTTTTCATGATTTGAATTTATTTTCAATTATATTTAACGGTTAAATCACTCAACTTTCAATCACCAGGTAGTTGGTTCGAATCCCATCACATATATTTCGGTGTTGGTAACCGAGTAGTATTGATGGCACTCAAATATATGACTGGATTCCTACTTTTTATTATGGTATTACACATGAACACTAATGCATCTGAGCACCAAAATAAATATTAACTACATAATTACGGAAGTGAAGTGATGAGGAGATTGAGAAAATAAAGTAAGGGTAGTATTATTAAAATTAAATAAATAAATAGTGAACAAAAGTAGTAGATAATTAAAATAGTCCCTAAACGTTACCTCGTTATTACTACAACCCGGCTTAAAACAATGTGCATCAAAAATAACTGTATCATTTATGTACTTTAATTCAATGAGTTTGCAGACAAGAGATTGATTGACATTGTCTGTCCTGGTGATCTTTCGTCGTAAGCTCAGGTTCAACTGAGGGAATTTGACTTAACAGTCTATAGCAGGCTTCTTTAGATTTTAGTGGCCCCTGATCTGACTCCATATAGAATAACCTTGACGTTAATGAAATTTATATATCTTAATCCGGTTAATACCAAATTAGATATGAGAAATTGAATACGAAAGGATTTGTGGAACATATATTTCAGACATTCGTTAATGCAGATCAATGATATGGTGGAAAGAGGAGTGCACTCCAACTGAAGTGCCAGAAATAGCCAACTCGTTTTGATAAAGTGTGACTCACTATTTATAGTCAGATAAATTAGCCAAACATAATGAATAGAGTAAGTGATAAACACACATATGCTCGTATAAAAACGGTCAAGGTTATAAACAAATAAATGTTCGAGTGAAACATCTTACTGTTACTACAACCCAGTACAGTCAGTAATATGACTTCAACCTCGATATTTTCTTCACTTAGTTGGTACACCTTTCATTAATACATATTGTCATGACTCGTCGATTGATGAAGCCAAATGGAAACTTTAAGTCAAATCTTATTGATAAACTTGGTTGTCGGTAAAAATGTTTATGTTTCCTTAGTAAAAGCCAGTGTTTACAGTCAAACTTACATTTATATATTCTTTTTGTTTTTTGTACAATTTCATCGAACAAGTGTTTAAAATAGTATTTATTACGCATATATTGTATTATCATTTCATAAATAGAGAACTTTTTTCCTCTCCTCTCGGATAAATGACATTTGAAATTGTAGCTTCCAAAAATGCTCCTACTACTACAAACCAGTACATATATTTTCACCTGGTTGTTATTCTATTGTGCAGGCTCCTTTTTTATTGTTGAAATTTCCTAAATCCAATTCAAAATACCAACTAAACACTACCTTCATCTGTTAGATTTAACAATTTAATTAGCAATTAGTATGAAACAATTCATTGTTAGAATAAGTTTATATTTTCTCTTTTCTCTTAGTATGGATGATTTAACAGAAGAAAAACTGTCGAAGTATTTCGCATTTATTGTATTCACCAATGGTGTGCTTGAAGTAAGTACTTGTTGCTTTTATATAACATTAACAAAGTTGACAATACTATACATTGTTTTCAGTCTCTTCTGTATTCCTACTTTGATACATTGTATTTACTCAGGCATTCAATTAAAAGATTGTGCTCCGACCTCCGAACTTTTCTGCTTCGTGTACAATCATGTAATACTCATATACAACGGTTATAAAATTAACGAATAGAAAAGTGTTTGTTTTCATGTTTAACCGACAAATCTCATTAAAACTTGGTTTTTCGAGCAGTGTACTGAACACTTTCATATTTTGTCTACTGTCATATTAAAGTATCTATGTTCGAAACCTTATCAAGATCGTGATATTTTATTAATGTTCATTGCATTTTGGATAAACAAACTAAAATCAAATAATTCTCTTCAACACCAAAGTCTACTCTAAAGTCCAACCATTGATCTAATTATTTTCCTCCTCTTGCCTAATTACGATATCGTTAATGACGATAGCTGTAGTTTAATTTTACTTTGATTTTATTTATGACGACTTCATAATCATCCACTATTTCTTCAGTTGACAGAAAAAGTGTTTGGTCGATGTTACTTTTAAGCCATCTTTCCTGTTCCACACATAATATCTTTCTTTTCTATGAAAATAGTTAACTATTTCGGTCTTAGTATTTTCTCTATATTCTTGTTCATATTATTCATATTATGGCCTCTTCAAAAGATATCATCCTCATATTCATCCAAGCTTACCTCTTATGTAGAGACGTTGAATTTATCCCGGCTTTGGTAAAGGCTGACCGAAATTCAGTCAAGAATATCACAACAGGATATTTCAAAACTCTTTTACTAATGATATAATTATCATACATTTTGCACAAATTATGTACCACCCAGGCTCAGTAGATGGCGCGTCTGACGTTTGAAGTGAAAGGTACTAGGTCCAAGTCCTAGTGTAACTGTTAACACTGGGATCCATGCATGTCCGGCTGAAGAGCCCCGCATAAGATGAAACGCTCATCTTGGGTTCCAGTGCTAATCAAAAACCATCTATTCTGCAGAAAACCTTTCTACACATTTTTTTCTTGTCAACTTATTACCAGCAGTGGATTTATGATTAAAATTTTCTGTTTTAAACAGTTCTTTATTTACTTTGTTGTGAGCGGCTGGCTAGGATCACTAGTTTTTACACAAAGTGTGCGACTCACAGCAATTTACACAAAGCTATACTTAATGAGTTACATTTTTTAAAAACATTCGTTGTAATTCCTTAGTTTCAGTTAGACGACTAAGAAACTCCACCCACTGATCCCCAATAAGGTGTTCGGCACTTGAACATCATTACCAAACATTTAAATGTATCCGATTAAAATTAGTGATATGACTAAAAAAATGTTATTGATGTAAAACTCTCCAAAGTTATATTCTGTTTTACTTGGTTTATATTTGCTTTAAATATCGTGTTAACACACGTTTACATATTTTTTTCTGCAGATTTATAGTTTACCCGATTTCACTTTACTCTATGAAGTCCATCATTTCACAGATCTTCCACAAATGTTGATAGATCATCGAGGTGTAAGTAGTGAACAACTTCATAAGCCGTATACAAACTCACAAAAGTAATTTTTTCCTTTTGAATAATTAGCAATATTTGTTTTCTATCGTTTTATCTTGATTTAAAACCGATCAACATGTAGTTATTCTGTGTTGTGTGAGTAAATTGTTTTCACTATCTATTTTCTCGACTGGTCGATTATTGTGTTAAATTTGTTTTGCGAAGTTCCCACGTTTAGTTTATTATATTGTCAAAGCTATTTGTGTTGTACACAAGGCAAACCTTTACAACATTTTTGAAGTGTCAGCTGTATTAAGCTTCTACGTAGTCAATAATTTACATTTCCATTATAAAGTTGATTTTATTTTTAAGTCATTGATTACTTTATTACATTCACTACATACATGTTGATATATTGGAGATTGGTAAATGATGGAAGACTCTAGTGGTACATTAAATTTCAGTTAAACGAACTTCTTAATTTTTTTTATCGTAAACCTTAGTAGTTCATATTGGGAGAAAGTTTGCAAAATTTATATGATACATCCATGGTATATTCCGACTTGATGGGCTTGAAATTATACGTTATGGAAAGCAGACATACTTTTAATGTAGCCAAATATTGACATCAATATTAACATTATCCTGATTCAGTTGCGGATGCTATCATTTGATATCAGTACGTATTAAACAGTTTCTCCTTTAAATTTAACGTATTCAATTATATGCCGGCATCCAGTTCAAGATACATATGATAACATTACCGCTGGTATACGATGAAATGGGGACGAAAAATGTAACATGTAATTCAAATCAATATATTGCATCAGTTTAGTTTTAATTACGTTCAGTCGCTGTATTTTCCATGTTGTATCTTTAACTAATCATCTAGTGTGTGTAAAAGTTATATATGTAAATGAGTGTACTTTTTTTGGTCAAGACGACGTATTTTCGATGGTCATTAGAATCTGATGCACTTGTCTTCGCGTTCACGTCGTAAAATTGCAGTGGTTTTCCGGTTTCAAGTGTTAGCAGTAGAACCACGGTTATAACACTATAATTAACAAAACTGTATATTTTATATATAAATTATTTAGTTAAACTTATCTGGGACATTTTTCGTAAATATTTTCTTTAATTAATATAACGTTGCATTTACTTATTCATGTACATTAATAGTATAGCATAACATTATAGTGTAGATTAAATGTATAAACGTTTATATTTTGCAAAATGTCTCTTACAAATGAAGCATTCTTTCTCTTAATGATATATATTATTTCGTATTAAAACTTTTTTAAATATATAAATTCAGTGTACCATATACAGAAGACGAAAGTATACCACCGTCGATTTTGGAAATTCTTGTCTATCCTGTCGGAATCGATAAAGATCGCCCAGTGTTAATGGTAGGCTAATTTATTATTATTTATTATTGCTACTTTTATACAAGAAATATAGTACTCAATGAGGAATGGGGAAATTACTAATTACTTACTTACTTACGCCTGTTACTCCTCGTGAAGGAGCATGGGCCTCTCACCAGCATTCTCCATCCAACCTTGTCCTGGGCAATCCTTTCTAGCTCCGTCCAGTTGTAATTCATCGTTTTCATATCTGCTTCTATTATCCGACGCAATATGTTCTTTGGCCTTCCTCTTTTTCGCTTCCCTTCAGGATTCCAAGTTAGGGCTTGCCTCGTGACGCAGTTTGACGATTTGCGTAATGTATGTCCTATCTATTTCCATCGTCTTTTCTTAATTTCTTCTTCAGCTGGAAGTTGATTTGTTCTCTCCCACAGAAGGCTATTGCTGATGGTATCCGGCCAATGGATGTTGAGTATCTTGCGAAGACAGCTATTTATAAATACTTGTACTTTCTTGATGGTGGTTGTTGTAGTTCTCCAAGTTTTAGCTCCATACAGTAGAACTGCCTTGATGTTCGTATTGAAGATTCTCACTTTGATATTAGTTGAAAGTTGTTTTGAGTTCCATATGTTCTTCAATTGTAGGAATGCGACCCTTGCTTTGCCGATCCTCGCCTTTACGTCTGCATCGGGTCCTCCTTGTTCATCGATGATGCTTCCTAGGTATGTGAAGGGCTCTACATCTTCCAGAGTTTCACCATCAAGAGTGATTGGATTGCTGTTCTCCGCTTTGAATTTGAGGACCTTGGTTTTCCCTTTGTGTATGCTGAGGCCTACTGATGCAGAGACTGCTGCTACACTGGCTGTCTTCATCTGCATCTGTTCGTGTGTACGTGATAGGATGTCTAGGTCATCTGCGAAGTCCAAATCGTCTAATTGGTTCTGAGCTGTCCATTGTATTCCGTGTTTTCCTTCAGATGTTGAGGTCTTCATAATCCAGTCGACCACCAGAAGAAAGAGGAAGGGAGAGAGTAAACAGCCTTGTCTGACTCCGGTCCTTACTTGGAATGCATCTGTCAGCTGTCCTCCATGCACTACTTTGCACTGTAGTCCGTCGTATGAGTTCCGGATAATATTGACAATCTTCTCAGGAACTCCATAGTGTCGGAGAAGTTTCCATAATGTCCTCCTATCTACACTGTCGAATGCCTTTTCATAATCAATGAAGTTGATGTATAGTGATGAGTTCCACTCAACTGATTGTTCGACGATGATCCGTAGTGTCGCAATTTGGTCTGTGCACGACCGATCCTTACGGAATCCAGCTTGTTGATCTCGAAGTTGGGCGTCTACTACATCCTTCATCCGGTTCAGCAACACTCTGTTGAAGACTTTCCCTGGTATTGACAGTATTGTAATGCCTCTGTAGTTTCCACATTTGCTCAGATCTCCTTTCTTTGGGATCTTGACGAGGTGTCCTTCTTTCCAGTCCATCGGCACTTGTTCCTCCTCCTAAATCTTTTTGAATAGTAGGTGAAGCATGCTTGTGGTTACTTTGATGTCTGACTTCAGTGCTTCAGCTGGTATGTTGTCGGGTCCCGCTTCTTTCCCGCTCTTGATTTGTCTGACGGCCATTCTGATTTCTTCCTTCGTTGGTGGTTTGGCGGCTACGGGAAGATTTATGTGTGCTGCTTCGATGTCCGGTGGATTCATTGGAGCCGGCCTATTCAGGAGTTCCTCGAAGTATTCTACCCATCTGTTACGCTGTTGTTGAATTTCGGTGATTGGCTTGCCTTCTTTGTCTTTGACCGACCTCTCTGGTTTACTGTATTTCCCTGGACGGACAATTTATATTTTAATGTAATAAAAACAACCGTCAATAATTAAGTTTTCCTAATGTATGCCAACCCGCAACTCCAAATATGATCACGTAACTACATTACAGTTCAATATTTTAAAACTATCACCTGTTTTCGCTTTTATTTGTTCAGGTTACGTGCCTATTTAGTTTATTTGACTGTACTACTTATTATTAGAAAGTAAGCTCTCGTAAAATTGTCATTTAAAAGCGTCGATTACCAGACATAAAAAAACTTATTTCTAAACATGAAACGTTTGTAACATGAGTATAGTAATGCTTTGAGCAGTAAAACTGTTGTTATAGTTTTTACTTACTAAACTTGTTCTTTATATAATCGACTGATTTCGCCTAGTTATCTGAATTAGTGGTTACATACCAATCAATGTAAAATTCTCATAATTAATTGATTATTTGTGTTTGTCTTCAGGAATATCACTAACTAAATTTTAAAGTATATTTTGTATCACCAAGCTATGAAATACACGTATCGTCTACGAACTAAAAACATTACTTAGTCGGGAAAACTGGAAGTCTGTCTAGTGTCTCCTAGACAGGCCTGCATCAGCACCTGAACTAAGGATAGGGAGTGAAGTAGTCGAACGCGTCGACAACTTCACTTATCTTGAAAGTCTGATCAGCCCTAATGGGCCGGTATCAGACGAAATCTCTGCACGGATTCGAAAAGCTCGTTTGGCTTTTGCCAACTTGCGTCACCTTTGGCGAAGGAGAGATATCCGTCTATCAATAAAAGGACGAGTATACTGCGCGGCAGTCCATTATGTTTTACTTTACGGCTGCGAAACATGGCCTTTAAGAGTAGAAGACACGCGTAAGCTACTAGTATTTGACCACAGATGCCTTAGAAATATTGCTGGCGTCTGTTGGGATCACCGGGTAAGTAATAGTGAGGTTAGATACAGGGTATTAGGGAATGATGGTAAATCAGTTGATGAGGTTGTTAATCTTCATCGAATAGTATATACAAACTTCACACTGTTAGTGAATATCACATATAGTCATACTGAATAATTTAAAACCCATTGTTTAATACACTGAAGTATATGATTGTTATCATTTTTATCACTTATAAATGTTACGCGGTTTACTAAAAATAAGTGGTCATGTGAATATTATATTATGTATCAAATATCCATATTATTGACAGGATATTGTTTGATTGTTAGTGATAAAATTCAAACTTATTGGTAGGTTGTTTAACTCAATATGTCAATGATTTCAAACTTTTCTCACTTAACAAGGTACTGTTGGGGCTCACACATAACAGGTGTAGGATTTAACAACAAATATATTTTTGCAATATCCCAACGAGTATAAATTTGTATTTCTGGCGTTTCGCAACTTATTTTAAGTTACTTCTTCTGAGTAAATAAATAAGTAGCCGAAATAAAATTGATACAGGTTTACATAGTACACAGGAAACAAAGCAGAATATTTTTAGTACAGACCAAATCATAATAAGTATGAGCATGTCTATGTCATGTTATTTTTCGTTTTTTGTTTATTTACTCTGAAGAATTGACTTAATTAAGTCACTAAACGTCAAAATTACAATTTCTACACATAAGAATTTTGTGAAAATGTGTTTACTATTAACTCTCTACTCGATGCTTAATTTATTTGATACTATCTAAATGTATAGTATCGTTGATTGTATATATTTGAACCTGACCAATACAAGTTGTATTCTTTTATGATTTAGATCTCAAATGATTTTCATTGGTAATTTTATTCTGTATATTACTCGACAAAAAATAAACACTTGAATCAAATGTAGTTGCATACAAAACAGCATAAATTTGCATTTCATTCCAATAATATCTACAAAGTCATTGCTAGTTAAAAAAACTTATTGAATATATTCTCCTTTTTTCTAACTATTTTATAAGTGCACTGTAATGTATTTTTTTATATACGAAAAGCGAATAATTTATCTTGTTGTCAAAGGTTCAGTCGTGGGTTTCTGACATGAAAATATCAACACATAAGTTAAGAAAATACATATAAACAATAGGGAAGTACATAATTTATTATTGTAGTTCTTTTATAAGAAAAGATCTTACATTTTCCTACAAATTATTTGTAACCATAACATTTAGATAGCCACTTTTACTGATGAAATTGTAATAAACTAGAGTCGATCCGTTATGTAAAATCACACCCTTCAGCAATCTCCTCTATCCCCTATAGTAAAAAAAAGATAATCATAAGCTTACTAGTGACTAACGTTTTGAGATTTCCATAGTGCTAGTGAAAATCTTTAACCATTGGTGTTCAGTCACATCGAGTGCCATACAAATACTAACAACTGTCACACAAACCATTGAATGCCAACTTCCCGATCAAGAAGGTTTGTCCTAATGCTTGAAGGTCCTAGATTCGAAGCCTGGTGAACTCGTAAATGCATACTACCGAAGAGATCTAGACTGGACCGATAACGTTGTCTATTGTTCTGTGATTCTCAAAGGGTGTACAACTAAATTTGGTACGCTATATTGAACCACAACATAAAGTAACTGAAGATGTACTTCGGAAAATATTGCATGAAAGAATGTGATATGAATTTAAAGTGTCTACGCTTATCAATCGCGATTAATTTTAACCCATAAAATTGCAGATTTCCAACCAGTGATTCTTATCCTGTCCATGATAATATGCAACAAATCTGTATTGTGTATATTCAAAGCATAAGAATAGAATCCTTATACTGGAGTGAAAACATGAAGTTGAGTTAAATAATTGTATATTGACTTTCTTTGCACAAAAGATATTATAATCGTAGTTATTTGTCGTAAATTCTACCAAGAAAGTATTTACCTTTGTTGTTTTATCAAGGTTCGAACTAGTCAAGAAATAGCATTTTTTGAAGCATTATGCCCTCTACCAGATGAAGCGTATCCTCTTATTTCCGGAACGTTTTATGAAGGAAGATTACGCTGGAGACGTTTACCTTTACCTTGTCCACTTGTTGCACCACGTCGTGTCCGAACTGATCCGAAAATTATGGATGTTCAGGTATATATCCCATTTTTGCTCCATACTATGTCAATAGAATTGGTGTAGAAAGGGTTAAGAAACATTTTAGCTTGAAAGTATGTTTTTAGTCCGTTACACATTGTCTTGACTAAATGCCTCGATCCATAAGCTTTTAAATTAATTAGGTCCCAAAAATGCCCAAAATATTTATATAAGCTTCAGTATTACATTATGCAATTCATATAATGCAATAACAACAGAATGATTTTCTTTAGAAATAAATGCTTAGATAGAGTTGGCACCAAAATAACTAAATGAGCTTGTATGTCACTGTATGCGTTCAGTGAATCATGTAAAATAACGTATGTCCTTAGCCTATCCAACACAACTTATTGACTAGTTAGTATAGTAATAAAAACAAATGAGCCATCTTAAAATTAATCAATGTAACTAGAGTGATTGTTGTCCCCTTTGTGTTGATGTAATGCATTAATCTAAACCGTGTTCCCCAGTGTCATCTTCCATTCTTTGTTTGTGTGATGCAGCGATGGTTTTGAAAGCGTTGGAAAAAAAACTCGCCCAATACATGATTTTATTAGACAATCGGTGCATACAGTATGTGAGAATCTTCCAAGAAATTATCTGCTTGTTCGCTTAATTAATTGGCTTTTCGTCTCGTTACTTTATCATATTTCTAATCACAAAATAAAAACAGTTAAATTATAAAGTTGTTGATTGAGTTATTTTTCACATTTGATTAAAAATAACCGTAGTAACATATGCTAAACACACTTAGCAAACTTAAACCATGCTAGTAAATGTGTTATTTACGTTTGTTAATTTATTATTTCATTTTCACAGTCCACATTATTAACAAGAACACATATGCTGAGAAGTTTCGAAAATATTGGAGACCATCGTGGTGTATTTGTATGTGGAGGAAATCCTATTTGGTTATTTGCTACAGAATCGGGACAACTTCGTGTATTTCCACATTCAATCGATGGAATAATGGGTAGTTTCGCACCATTAAATGCAGAAATTTGTCATTCAGGATTTGTCTATTTTACATTCTCTGTAAGTTGGCTTCTACGTTTGTTATTTAACGTTTATTGACTCTGTTTTTTTTCCACTAACGTTAAAGATTAACAAAAATAGAATGAAATATTTTTGTCGAATGGTAAATTGAACCGTCAGATATAGTGATCACAACGGCTATGCGCTATAGTTTATTCCTGAAGTAGGGAAATTTAAAACGATGTTTTCCAAAAGTAGCACACTACGTCATCAGCAATTTGTTCCCAAGAAATATAAGAACTAAAAGTTTACATCACGGACTGACTTTAGCTAGACAATCGTTCAAATTAGGCAGTACCGATTGGTTATTTTGTTCTAGTATAGGTATCCTCACTGGTACATATCTATCACCCCTTCAAGGATTGAACTCAGGAATGTCGGGCCTCACAGTAAGTGTTTATCGTTATGACCTTTAAGTTGACATCAAATAGCTCACATTCGTACATTCAGTCGATTTGCGACTTTATTCGACTTTCACACGTTACTATCGATAATATGTCTCACGCCCAACGTGTTTGAAATTTGTGTGCGGCTCATTATCTGCATGTGTAAGCATTACTTTTGATTTCCAGTCGCATTATAAATTTTAAATCAGAAACATTACGCAATCGTTTCTGTTGTAACGTGTGGGACTGCAGGTTATGATAAGCAGCGTTTATATCGATCGGTTACAGTGGACACGTAAACACTTAGTGGATGACCTAGTGTCCCGATTGGTCCCGCTACCCTGTCTAGCCCAGCCAGTTGAGTCTAGAACGTAAGACACAGCCCCTGAGTTATGAATCATTGTATTCCAGACATACTCTATTTATATACTAACCAAGCAAACCACATCGTACCATAAAATAGAAAACAACATTTACACAATATTTAACAAGTGAAACAAACATCGACCAATGGGAAATGTCCATTTAACGTTCAAGGACACCATTCGACTTAACACGATAATTATTGGCATATTCGTTTGCATACCTAACAGTTTCTCTTTGTCCAAAACTTCATTTTAATACACTTGTTTTCATACGTTTTCCTTATAAATATAAGTTCATTATGCTTTTTTTTTACTATTTGAGTGTTACTCGTAATATGTTGGCTGCCAAATGGCAAGGTACTATTGTTCAATGTCTTTTATCACAAGATTTATTATAACTATTGGAACTAAAGTGACTTCCATTAAGACGTCATGATGCATTCTTTCTCTAGAACCAATAATAAATACCCCTTTAAGCTCCCGACTTGATATGTTTTTTAGCTAAATATCTTAGACTGGGAAAAAACAGTTGTATTGTACTTCCTAATTTGTAAAACTCTGACTTATCGACGACAACACTTTCCTTTCAAACATTTATTCATCGATTTAAATCCTGCCTCATGTACCAAGGTTTGTATAACCAAACAACACCCTGAGCAGAAACTATCACACTCAGTCTATATGATTCTTTGTCCTGATCAACGAACTTACATATGTAGATTTCTAGGATGAGACGTATACCTCAGTAAACGTAATGATTGAAGCTTATGTTGGAAAAAACTAAATTTTACTTTAAATTTATACGTCTTCTTAAAATTATTTATCGTTTGATTTGTGTTTTTCATGCGTTTGTTTATTCAATTATAGAATGAAATGCGTCTAGCTACCCTACCTCCAGGCTATTCGTTTAATGAACATTTAGGAATAAAATGGATTACTCTTGATCCAGTGCCTTACTATGTACAATACCATGTAGAAAGTAAGGTGAGTGCATTACATGTTTACATATCATTATCATCTTCATTAAAATTTTTATTCATTCAAAAAACTAAATCTCATTAGCATAGTGTTTGTTTACTTCACGTGATTATTTGTGCATGTTGGTAACATAAACCGTTTGTTTTTTTCTCTCTCCCTCTTTAGTCCAATTGCCATTGACTGACTATTTCTAATTCATTTAATTATACATGTAATCACAAATAGTAGTTCTCAGTTTTTCTTATCAGGCTTACATATAATAAACCATTTTTCAACATTACAAGTCTTAAGGTTATTCACTGACAAGATATTCGATTGGTAACTTGAAAAGTGATCCACTTTAAGACGTACTTTATTGCATAAGTTTTAGTGATACTAATGTTGTTGTATTCGCCTCGCTTATTCTTATACTTGAAAGAGCGAAGAACCTTTGTAATTCTCACATGAAACTAATTGGAAACAAAAGAGTTACATATGCAGTAAATATATTTACCCTGAAATCATAGCATCGATGGAAATTTCACAGTACGACTAGTCACTTACAAAGGTTGAAAGGAGCTTGTTGGTTTTCTGGTGGTTAGTATTCTGACAAAAGATGCTCATACAAAATTATTTTTATTTCAACACATAAATATTGGTACAAGAGGGCACCAAATATATATGCCCCACACCATGTTTGTGTGCGTGTGTGTGTGGGCTGTGATACTGCCCGGGTGCCCAGACCGAAGCCGGTGGTTTTCTTAGGGGGCCACACCCCGTAAATGCAATATCAGCGTTTCGGTCACATAGACGGGTGTTTCCGGAGTCATAGTACTTCACTTTCCTGTGTAAAGAGATCCAAATCATTCCCACATAAGAACATTCATACCGCTTTTAAAGTTTCGAGTGTTCATCTGTCTGGAAAAAGGAAATATAGTGAGATCTTGATATACAGCATATCTGTCAGACTTCAGATTGACACTGGGTCAAATATTACTCTGATTTATCGCAATACTGGGCGTACACTTGGGTCCCCACCCATCTCTAGAGCCAGAAATGCGTCCGGTGATCTGATAAAACTAGTCGGTGAAGTTGAATGTGATTCTCGTCCAAATCTCAAAATTTTCGAGGTAAATGTTACCTCGCAAATCGTCATGGTTTAGATTGATCAGATGGAGCAGCTGTCATTGTGGGATATACCACCAATTCTCATTTGTTCTTAGATTTATCTCTCAACTCAGACATCCACCCTTACAGTAGTGAATTATCTTACCAATCATCTTAAGTCGAAATATAGTTCAGTATTCAGTGAAATCCTAGGATATTGTACGGTGGAGAGAGAAGTCTTATGTCTGCGGCCGAACTTCCAACCTGTTTCAAACCGAAACGTCCAGTTCCATATCCCTCTCTACCTGTGGTAGATAATCTGTAAAATATTCACTCTGGTCAGCTCCAATAGCCGTTGTTTAAAAGGCCAATGGATCCTTACGTTTGTGTGCTGATTTCTCAACAGGTTTGAATAATTCATTGGAAGGTCATTCATATTCACTGCATGTACCAGAAGATATCTTCACAAAACTTAATGGTGGAAGCATTTTGCAAAAATGGACTTGGCGGATGCATGCCTTCAAGTTGAAATGGCTGAGTCTTCGAAATAGTTATTGGCCGTCAATACTCCCAAAAGTTTGTGTCAGTACCAGCTATTGTTCTTCAATGTGAAGATAGGTCCAGCTATATTCCAACAAATTATGGATATTGTGACATGTGAAATACTAGTACTTGTTGCCTAATTAAATGACATCATTGTTACTGGAGCTGCTGAAGAGGAACTGTTCTGTAGACTTGGTGGTGTCCTGTCGAAATTTTAAAAATGTCTTCCAATTACGTGCAGATAAGTGCAATTTCTTTATACAAACCATCAAGTATCTAGGGTTCGTGATCGACAAAGACAGTGATAGAACCGATCCTGATAACATTAATGCAACTAGACAAATGCCAGTGCCAGGAAATGTTGGCAAGTTATGATCATTCTTTGGTATGATCAGTTTTTGCGCCTTTTTTGTCCCATCTACGCATCAATTGAGACACCTACTGAATCAACCCTTGTTGGATGGTGCGAAATGGCAATGGTCAAAGGAATGCCAACAATCGTTTAACAGAGTAAAAGAAATATTGCCATCTGGTTTACTTTAAGTCCACTACAACCCTAAATTAAATATTGTGGTAGCGACTGATGCCTCAAATTATGGCATTAGGGCGATTATTTCACATGTTTTTCCCGATGGTACAGAAAAGGCCATTTGTCACGCTTCACTAACTCCGGTAGAACGTAATTATAGTCAAACTGAGAAGAAAAGATGTGCTCTGGTTTTCTCAGTCAAGAAGTTTCGCAAAATGCCACATGGTCGACGTTTCACTGCTTACAGATCATAAACCACTTGTAGAGATTTTTGGAATCAAAAAAGGAATCCTAATTTGCTCAGCGAACCGCCTCCAAAGATGCGCAGTGATCGTATTAGGTTATAATTTTCATATCATTTATAAATCTACACAATCTTGTCGTATGAATGCCCTTTCCAGATTGATTAGTAATCAGAAGCTATAAAATTAGAACACAGTAGTCTGTTGATTCGGTTGAAAATGGTGTTTTCAATATTTTTCACAAATGCTGTTCACTCCGTTACTTTAACATCAAGGAGATTTGCAGAGTCTAGCAAAAACTATCCAGTTATTTGTAAAATAATACACTACCTGAATTGTGGCTGGCCCACACATCTTCAGTCAGAAGACATGAAACTGTTCCACAAAAGAAGAGACTTCCTGTCAATCGTTGATAACTGCGTCCTGTTTGGTGATCGAGTTATCATTCATAAACATCTTCGTCAATTGGTCCTGAAGTACATACATTCATTTCATCTCCGTCTCCAAATTGTTGTATCCGCATCTCTTATCTCATACTTGAAGGAACAAGGAACCACTGCTATTCCCACGACATGACGTAAGCCCGTCAATACTTGGATATATTACACCTAAAACATGTCAACTTCAGTTAAAAATACACTCAATATATATTGATCGATCACTCATTTTGATTATTAATTAGAATAAAGTCACACACATAAAAAATAGAATTATAACAAAATCACATGCTGCATGTCATGCTGTGCACAGTTCCTGTTAAATTAATGACATCGCATTCAAATAAATCATTGTTAAAACTGAATGAAATATCACAGTGGAAAACAAAAACAAATTCTACTCTGAATAATCGTTATATAGAATTAGAACTGAATGTTGGATAGGAATCACAATGAGTTAAAAATGTGATTTCACCTTCTCATCCGGTTATATCAACTAGACTGGTGTTTAAACGTACTAATTGGTTGAAAGCCAAATGCTTTAACTACAAACTACTTGTTTACATTCTTAGATTTGAGTTAAATTATTTATGTGAGGACTAGTGACATCTCGCGGCCGTTCAAATCGAATTTGGTAAATTGGATTTCGAAATTTCTACCTAGTGGTTCAAACTGATAGTTTGTATGATTTTTACGAACTTTATCATTTTAGTTATTGCTATCGTATATCTATACTCTTTATTCCTGTGTTTTCTAATCTTCGGTTTTATATCGCCCTTGATGCGTTGAAGAATTATAGTTATTGCTACTGTCAACGTAGTTTGATTAAATTAGTATTTTTGAATTCTCTTTGTATTAAATGATTATAACACGATAGTGTTTTATTTTTTGGAAATAAAAACTTGTCTACATTTTAGATAAATGATAACAATTTTTAAGTCTACAGTAAGTTATCGTCTCAATCCATCTATCAATTTTGAATTTTTATAACCACTTCCTTGACGCCTATATTCAAGCAGGTGATTGGTTGAAATAGTCACTTCTAGTCGTTGACTTTAACGTTTTTCATATGTCAAACAATCTAATAAAGTTAGGAATTTGTTCACTTATATAAAAAGACACTTCCTACCACATGACAAAAACTACAGATTTTATGAAAATAGCAATGAACTTTATCCACTCTTAGTCACGAGTCAACATTCACGTCGAGGTTTTTGTTTAGATTTCTCATTAGTATGTTTATCAATATCAGTTGTGTTTCATCCATTTTGCTCATTGTCTCACTAATTCTGTAGCGCTCTCAAACCTGTTTCATCATTTGTGCAAATAATGCAATAAATATTCATATTTTTTAAATTAATCAACCATATAGTGTACTTATATGGTCTTATAAAACGTCCCCGACCTATTGTGAACCTAAATACTGAAAAATACAACCATAAGCATTACAGTAGTCGGTATTATCTTCGTCCTTGTCTACCTTTTAAAAAGATGAGAAATGGTTGTTTTTAATTCCATAAATCGAATAAAATAGTCTCAGCCGTAAAACTGGTCAAAAACGTCTATGAATGGAAATAACTGACAGCTAATCACTATGGAGATACATTTTAAATATTATTCTCATCCCCGTCGCACAAGCCAGTGGTTATCTCGGTTCAGTAGCCTGGTAAATAACTCATTGGCCATTTAAAGTGAAATGTACTAGGTTTGAGTCCTGGCTAAACATCAACGCTGGGATACAGATACATCTAACCAAATAGTCCCAAACTGAACAGAACATGCGTTCTAGATTCCACAGCTAGCCACTATCCAACTTTCCCGTATACTTGTGGTTATATAGTAATTTCGATTCAATCCTCTCAGGTTGTACATGTATCTGAAAGAAAGTAATCAGTTCCTGTCCTTATTATCAATGAAATGATACAAACACAAATTATTTCCCAATATCTATGAATTATATGTATACTACAAGGGAATTGGTTTCATTGTTGCATATTCTAGTTTGAGGATTGTATAATGTGAATATTAATTAAGTTTAAGATATTTATATAATGATAAGATTTTTCAAGTTGTTTAGTGTAAACTATCATTGTAATTGAACGCATTTGTAACAATATTGTTTTATTTTAAATTTTTATAAACTGTTTACTTAAGATAATCATGATACTCCTTGTATACATAATACTCGTAGTTTCATATTACCTTAAATGTGTAATAATGAAGTGAAATATGATATTTTTTAGTGATTTGCTCAATGCAATCAGAACTTATCGAATATAGAACTTTTTAAAAAAAGACAATGACTTGGTGATAAATGTGTATTACTTGAGTTGTATGCGTTCAAAACCCAACTCCAATTGTTTGTTTTTAGGCAACCGAGTAATATCACTTATTCACAAATAGTGTAACTCAAGGTTATAGTACTGGCGTTTTTTTAGTCCTTCAGAGAATATATCTTAATATCTTACAATATAAATGTACTATTGTAATCTTATTTGAAAGTTATGTATATCCCAATACAATGTACGTAGATCATACCAGAATAACAATGATTTTCCATATAAATTTGTTTATATCATAGACATACGCTGTTGTCGGTATTCATTCAGAACCGTGTAAATCTGTATTTCGATTAAATGCTGAAGGTAATAAAGAAGAAGATGTTTTAGTTCGTCCTAAAACATGTGTTCTACCAACCTTAGACTATTACTCTTTACAAATGTATGCACCAAATTTAACTGCTAATCATCGTAATAAACAATCCCCATGGCTATTGATTCCCAATACGCTGTAAGTTAATAGTTTTAGTATTATTGTTTATTAAAAATTTTCTTTAGCTTTACTATCCGGTTCTATTTATAAAGAAGAATTATGAAATCCAGACTAAGATTTGGTTTACATCATATTTTACAATTTCAATATCATTTCAACTCTTTGCTTTTTATACTGTTCATTTCTTGTCATAATGATGTGTTTGTTTATGACAAATGATTCTGTACGAGGTAAACTTCGTTAACTGATGTTAGTGCTTGTTGATTTTTCTCATGTTTTTGTGTTAGGAATTCCCCACTTCTAAAGTTAATAACGTTGAATTCTATAGTTCTGTTATTGTTATCTAATAATTCCTTTGATCTGTATATTTTTTAATTTGTATAATTTGCTTGCATGCTAATTAGTATCTTTACACAGTTTGGGTATTCATTAACACATAATCTACATTTCCAAATTCAAATCTGAACTGTTTTATTGTAGTAATTAAGCAATCCCTCGAATAAGCAATAATGTATTAACACCCAAATAAAAAATAAAGAAGTTTGGATTTGGAATCAGCAGTATAATATTTTATTGTGGAGTAATGGAAAATTGAAACAAATAGTAATGATCTACTTAAGGTGTACAACAGTTGAAATAGTTATTCACTACAATTATTTTGACTTTCATCTCAAAATAGTTTTCATCTAATCCTTTAGAAAAATGTAGATCCAGTATAGTCTTTTCATCTTGAATATTTCTTAGGATTTACACTCCAAAATTTTATACGATTTAATTAACTTATCAAAAGTACTTATTTATAATCTGTTATCATTCTATCTCAACTACTCTGTATTATTATTATTTACTTCAATTATTTTTAGCATTGAATTTGAACCGTGGGAAGTTGTCACATGTTTGATTACAGCACAATTAGCATCTGAAGAGACGTTTCATGGCACAAAAGATTATTTGGCTTTAGGTGCAAATTTATCATATGGTGAAGAAATACCTGTACGTGGTCGAATTCTAATTTTAGACGTGATTGATGTAGTACCAGAACCTGGTCAACCACTTACACGACATAAATTGAAAATTATACATGATGGTGAGCAAAAGGGTCCAGTGACAGCTTTAACTAGCTGTCAGGGTCATTTAATCAGTGCAATTGGACAAAAGGTAATTGTGAAAATGTTATTGTAATCAGTAACCAATTTGTTGTTTCTTAAACTGATCACTCCTTAAAGTAATTCTTATGATTAAGATAAATCGCGACCAAAGATTTCGTGAAATCCTTGCGTCTGGTTTTCTGATCTCGTTATAATTCATCTATACAATTGTTAATCTCTTTAATATCAATTTTGATGATAAGTATTTCCAGTTTCCTCAAATAACACAACCTAGATTTAATTCTTTTCGAATAAATCATAAAGATTTTACTATAATTAGATGACTTGTTTATTCTCCGATGGTTCCATTTTACTGTTATTTGAATCATATCACTTGCGAGTGATATTGTATCCTGTACGGTTCGGAATAAAACCCTTTTCGATCAATAACCAAATGGATAACCTTCATAAACCATTTTAGCGATTGATTAGTTATTTACAGATTGCTCTTTTTATTCTAGTTTTTTTATCTTCAAAACAAATCACACCTAGGCTACATTCTTTCATTTTAGAATTTAAATCTTATAAATATCTCCTTCACTTTTCAATTAAGTGCAATATTAAATTTTTACGTAATTTTCCAGATTCTTTATTTATTTTAACACATAGATATTGGTACAAGGAGGCACCAAATACATATGCGCCACACAAATCTCACTCGATATGTGTGAGGGCTGTGATACTGCCCGGGTGCCCAAACCGAAGCAGGTGGTTTTCTTAGGGGGCCACACCCCGAGCCTTCGACCTGAAGGTCTGATCCACAAGGCAGTGGAGCATCGTAAGGAGATGCAGTCCCATGGAAGGCGGTGACCAACAATTGGTTCATACACCATTTGTTCCCTCAGGATACTGGAGCCCATGTGCACCATTGGTTTGGAATCCGGTTAAAGCGCCGGACATTCGCTTTTCGTCCTCTCATTTTTGTAAACAACACCCCCACCACGAGAAGGCAGTGAGTAGGACTTTCCTGGCAGAGGCTATATACGCGTGGCCATGTGAGAGCATTTAGAGAGTGAGAGAGGACTCTCCCCACTCTCGGTCGTACCAGGGCATTTGGGGGCCCAGATTCTTTTGACAGTAGTCTATGTCCGTTGATAAATAAGATCTCTGACTAATAGAATATTTTTTAATGAGTACTCAATTAATAATAAAGCTTTAAATTTTATTAGATATTCGTCCAACCAGTACGATTTTCAAGTCACATTTTAGTCAAAAATACATGTGGTCACAGTCAAGTAAAGTGATCCAATGCAATTCGCTCGTGTTGAAATACGTGACAACAAAATACGAGAGTTAACTAACAATAATAGAATCAAATCTTTATTAAATAGTCTCAGATATTCTTGATTGTTTCTTTCATTCACTCAAATACAATTGAATACCACTGCTCATAACTGTGTTTTCTTTATGTCAAAACTTGTTTATATCGTATGATTCAATGTAGTAGTTTGATGTTGTTCACACTAATCAATTCATAAACTTTACTTACTAAAACAGTATATTTTGTATAAAGATGTCACATGATGATGTTTAGGACTCTTAAATAATTTTATTTACAGATTGCTCTTTTTGTTCTAGTTTTTTTATCTTCAAAACAAATCACACCTAGGCTACATTCTTTCATTTTAGAATTTAAATCTTATAAATATCTCCTTCACTTTTCAATTAAGTGCAATATTTAATTTTTACGTAATTTTTCGTTGCACACCCTTCAGGAATCCAGATTGACACTTGCCTAGTGATGCAGTCTGATGATTCCCGCATTCTATATCCTATCCACATTCAAAGTCCTTTCCTAATTTCTTCTTCAACTGGAATCTGGCTTGTACTCTGACATAGTAGGTTGTTGTTGATAGTATCCGACCAACGGAGTATCTTGTGTAGACTGTTGTTTGTAAATTCTTGTACTTTTTTGATGATGGTTGTAGTAGTAGTTCTCCAAGTACAATAGAACTGTAAAATACAACTGTCTTCACGTTCGTATTATGAATTCTGACTTTGATGTCGGCTGGCAGTTGTTTTTTAGTTCCATATGTTCTTCAAATATAGTAATCCTTCCCTTGTTTTGTTAATCCGTGTCTTCAAATCTACACCAGAAACTGTTTGTTTATCAATGTGCTGTCCAGGCACGTAAAAGTTTCCGCCTCTTCCAGAGCTTCACCATCAAGTGTGATTCTGTTGTTGCACATTGTACTGTATTTAAGATTCTCGCATTTCTGCTTTTGTATGTTGAGGTCTACTGCTATAGAGGTTGTTGCTACACTGGCCGTCTTCACCTGGATTTGTTGTTGTGTATGGGATAAAAGAGCTTGGTCATCTGTCACGTCCATATCGTCTATTTGCATCCGGGCTATCTGTTGTATTCTGTGCTCCCTCTGAGGAGCGGACGTCTTCCTAATACAGTCGACTACGAGAAGAAATAGAGAGAGGGAGAGTAAGCAGCCTTGTCTAACAACCGTCCTCACTTGGAATACATCGGTCAGCTGTTCTCCATGGACGGCTTTACAGTGTAGTCCGTTGTATGAATTCCGTATGATGTTGATGATCTTCTCAACTACTCACTACATAGTGTCGAAGAAGGTACCATAAGGTTCTCCCGTCCACACTGTCAAACGCTTTCTTATAGTTGAGGAAGTTGGTGTATAGTGATGAGTTCCATTCAACCGACCGTTCAACAATGATCCGTAGTGTCTCAATGTAGGGCGTCTACTGAATCTTTCATCCGGTTCAGAAACACTCTGTTGGAGACTTTTCCCAGTACCGATAGTAGTGTGATGCTTCTGTAGTTCTCACACTTGCTCAGATCTCTTTTCTTTGGTATCTTGACGAGATATCCTTCTTCCCAGTCTGTCAAGACCTGTTCTTCCTTCGAAAGCTTCCCAAATAGAACGTGGATCATCTTTGCAGTTGCCCCTATGTTTGACTTCAGTGCTTCAGCTGGTATAATGTCTAGTCCGTCCAATTCCCCACTTCTGATTCGTGTGATGGCCATGCTGATTCTTTCGATCGTTAGGAGAGTGACAACTATAGGAATTTCTGTGTGTACTGTCCCGATGTCCGGTGGGTTCAGTGGGGCTGGCCTATTCAAGAGTTCTTCAAAGTGTTCTACACACCTATTCCTCCGTTTCTTTTTCGAATCTCAGTGATTGGCTTAACTTCTTTGTCCGTGACTGGTCTCTCTGGTTTACTGTATTTCCCTGCTAGTTTCTTCATTATATCATATAGTTGTCTCGTATTTGCTGTGTTGCAGCTTTTTCCGTTGTCATTGCCAGGTCTTCTACATGTTCCCACTTATCGGCTCTCATGCTCCTCTTCACTTGCATGTTTGCTTCTGTGTATTCGGTTTGTGACTCGAATTTCTCTGCTCTTGTTTGGCTGTTGTTAATAGCTATCTTCTTGTTCTTCCTTTCTTGATTCTTGTCCAGGATATATATATATATATATATATATATATATATATATATATATATACTTCTTCATTAACTCTCTGATGTCAAATCGATAACTCTATTCCTGTGGATGTCTCTACTCCATGTTAGTTTGCTTTTGCTCATAGTAAAACAAAACTTACTTATTACTTTACCAGATCGATATTTTTGTCATAGTTGTACATACCATTCATCATCTACCTTCTTCAAATTAATGTATGATTACTTATTCTTTCTATCTTTTAAAAAAATAATTGATGTTCCTATTCCATTTATATAATGAACTTATTGTATTAAGATAGCTTTATTCAACAGAACGACGCATCATATATATTTTATTTTATTAAACATAGTATTACTATTCTAAACTTGTGTTGTACATAATTCATTTTGTTCTTTTCTCTCTTAGATCTATATTTGGACATTGAAGAATACTGATCTTGTGGGTGTAGCATTTGTTGACTCGGAATTATACATCCATAATTTATTATGTGTGAAAAATTTAGTTTTAGCAGCTGATGTATTAAAATCTGTTCAGTTGTTAAGATTTCAATCAGATTTACGTGTTCTCTCTGTTGTCAGTCGAGATAATATCTCTAGAGAAGTGTATACATCCAACTTTTTTGTAGATGGTCGACGTTTAGGATTCATGGGTTAGTTATTGTTGTTTTGGTTTTACTGTTTCTTTTTGTTTGTTTTTGGTAACCTTAAGAATGTGATTATACAACAGCTGTGGTATACTTATGTGAGACTTATTTAAACACATACAAGCAGGGATTCGTATCAGGTGAACCAGTCTATTACAAAAATAAGTTTTTAGCAATTGAATATTTGAGTTAAAGTTGATTTTCCTGACAACGTGTTACGTAAACGATCACAATGAATTAGATATACGAGCAAGTTAGAATAGTTAGAGGCGGTCAAACTAAGTTGTGCCATCAGTCCATGAAGTTATTGACGGTTGATCTGAGCCAATATTTGTAGTTGCAGACTATCTCATAATCGTTGGTTGAAAACCGTTCACTCTCTGTTTTCATCTAGATTTAAAGTTCCAGTATTCCTTCATTCATATATTTCCTTTCCCTCTTCTCGGACTATATTCTCGGTGTTTAGTCCTTCTCATTATGATGATTATTACAATTATTTTAACTTTTTCTATTCATATATTTTTTTAATCTCGTCGTACTAGTGTACCATAGCAAGTTGGATCAACGCATGTCTGTGTCAGACTCTACTTTAGTTGTGATTGACTAATTAACTCATGAAAACTTATTTGCAGCCCTTATGAAAGCAGAAAGAATAAAGTCCCAATATATTCTTAAATACTCGTTACCCCCATTATATGACAAATGTCTTTTTAAATAAGAAATATTCCAACATTGTTCGGCTATGGTAAAACTCTGTACTGAAGTACAAGCCATAATTTAGTTGAAATGCCACTTAGTTTGAAGTATACATATATATACTGACTGGACGAGATTTTAAGAAATTATTGGACTGTGTCGTTCATGCACATGAACTCATTTGAATTAATTAAATACTTAAAGGACATAAATATAAAGACAAAGTGCTCCTTCGATGTGAACACTTTATTTACAAATGTACCTCTCAGGAAAACTATTGATATTTTGTGTGACTATATTTCTTTGAATAACCTTCCACTGCCATTTCCTGTTAACGCTCTTAGAGACTTATTATTATAGTGTATAGATAATGTAAAATTCACTTTGGAAGGTGAGCACTTCCGACAAATAGATGGTGTAGCTATGGGCAGCCCTCTAGGACCATTGCTGGCTGATGTGTTCATGGGATATGTGGAAAATTTAGTTGGAGACTCAATTCGAAAGATGGGTCTGTATAAACGATATGTAGATGACATAATAATCATAGGTGATAAAATTGAAGACATAAACCGCTTGTTAGAAGTAGTCAAAAGCACATTTCTCTTACATATGAAGAAGAGAAGAACAACCAACTTCCTTTTCTTGACATCCTGATTACTAGGAGAGATGATGGTTCCATCAAACGTGCTATATATAGAAAACCAACATGAACAGGACAATATCTTAATTTTCAGAGTCACTGCCCTATTCATTATAAACGCGGTTTAATAAAGAGCTTATTCAATAGAATCAGTCGTATTTGTACTAGTGATACTATTGAAGTAGAAACGAAGCTCTTGACTGATACATTAATGAATAATGGTTATTCTTTAAAGTTCATAAACCGCTGTAAGGGTTACAATACGACTAGACCTATGACGCTTCTGGCACCCAAAAAGCGAGTTTATATTACGTTACCATTCAGAGGTGACACAAATAGTCTCATGCTGAAACGGAGACTTAAATCAGCTATCAACCGGACATTTTATGCAACCCAACTTGTCATTATCGAAAAGACAAGGTCTATGTTTCACCAAAAGCCCAAACAGCACGAAAGCGATTGTCACATCCCATTGTGTCTATCAATTTACATGTATGTGTGGAAACACGTACATAGGGAGGAGCAATCGTGATTTGCAATTAAAGGTGGGTGAACACATACCAAAATAGTTGCAGAAGCAAGTGGATTCCAATGGTCAAATAAGATCACAGGATAGACGGACATCATCCTCCATTGCGAAACATTTGATTGAGACGGGTCATAAGGTTGATATCAAATCAGCATTTGTAGTGTTATACAAAAGCCTTCTAAGATGTAAACTAAGGTTTATTGAAGCAGATATGAAGAAAAACGACAAAACAACAAAGGTCATAATAATAGACTGAATAATAATCAAGAAAACTTGTAAAAGGTAGTAATAATAAATGATTAGAGTTTAAAGTGCAAAATAGTAATAATAAAAGTGCATTAAAAAACACACCTAGAAACATACCCATTAAGGGAATTTGGGCCAGGGAAGGATGAGAGGTTGGACAAACCGTTTCTGCACGCAAAGTTCAGGCTTTAGTTTCTGGATTGCCAATGCCTCTGCGGTGCATAAAATATTGATTCGAACCCCCCTTCGATCCAGTTCCTTTGACTCTGTAAACTATTTTAAACGAAGAGTCTTTTGGAGCGATATGTCCACAGTTGATTAAGTGCTCCTGTATAGAACTCGTGATTGTTCTTCGCTCCCCTTTCAAGAGCCAAGCTGGATAATGTTCCGAGATGCGTTTGGATAATGATTGCCTTGTGCGGCCTATGTAACATGCCCCAATTGAGCAAGTAAATTTATAGATACACATTGAAGTGGCCCAAAGCGAAAATTTGTCCTTAAGGCACCCCTTGATTTGTACGTTAACCTCATTTGTTATTTATTGTCGAATCCATTTCTGTGATACAATCCATTCTATCCTTCTATAGACATACATTTTCCATATAACTATATATACGAATGTACAGTTTATTGAAGCCTTGGCTATACGGAAATTGAAACCCCCTTTATGTGTTCAAAAACAATTTGTCCTTACACTTAACCTACCCTGGTAATACTGATTTATTATCCAGAGTAGTAATCACATTTGTTTTGTGTACTTTAATATTTTTTCCTTTGTTATGACTTACCCTTAACCTGTCTAGTTGACCTTTTAATTTTCATATACAAAATGTTCTTAACAAGTATATGTGTTATCAGATTGTTCGAAATGTATTGCGCAAATATATCACATAATTCTGATAACCTTCGTATGTATTACTTTGTGTATCATTGTGTGTATGTATGGCCGTGGATGAATATGAGAGTTACAATGTGATAAAATGGTTCAATCTATACATATAGATGTATCCCTGTAACAGTTTTATTATTTAAATTTACATTCGCTTATTTTAGATATTCCATTTGTATTCTTCATACATATTTGTTAGCTAATAACTTTTAATTTCGCTTAAATTAGCTTGCTTTCACGTATCATACAACCACTGAAATCCTTTATTCTTAACCAGTTTAATGTGTAGTTTAACAAATTAATTAAGTGCTCATAATTTTGCTGTTTCGCATTACATCCAATCTGTGATAATTCCATTTCTTTCAATAGTAGCAGTACTATTTTCGCTTTCATAAAACTGGTCTTTTTAATCAACTGTTGAGAAACCCTTAATTTCTGTTGAATCTTCTTACAGACTTTGAGTTATATCTGTCAAGGTAGTAAACCATTAATAGTACAAACCTTAGAAAATGTGCTGAGGTTTCACATAATAATAGATTTCATGTAAATATGTGTTGTTTTTTTCTCCTATTTCAAATTGATCTCAGTATCTGATGAATTGGGGAATGTTACCATCTATAGTTATGATCCATTAGATCCTTCAAGTCGTTCTGGAAGACGGCTTGTTCGTTGTGCAGATATGCGTTTACCATCTCGTGCAACCTGTTCACTTCGTGTGGCCAATCGACTTAGACATGCTTTACTCTCAGTTAAACCTTCGTCAACAACTACAGCGTCAACATTGACAGCAGGAACTTCAGCGACCAACCAAAATCCTACTAATACTATTTTAGATAATATAAGTCTTGTTGATTCTGTTAGTCAAATGAATAACTTAAAACAATCACAACAACAATCTACAGCTGCACAACAAGGGACCACCAATCCTAACTCTGGTGTTGATCCAGAGAAATTTAGACAGTCTATATATTTTGGTTAGTTTAATGCGTTTTTGTATGTTTATTTGGACTATCTTTATTTTATTTATGCTATAAACTGTCTGTGATTATCACTATTATTGTTACTCTTTTTCGGGATATTTATCTGTTATACATATTATCTTATTGAAGAATAATAGCATATATTTTCAGGACATTCGTAAATAAACTGATTACTTATTGAACGAGCAAAGAAATCAGATCGGTTACACCCATATGAATTTCAGATGGTGGGGAATATTCATAACTTGTGATAAAGAAGAAAGTAAACACAGCTACAATGTCAAAGATCAGGTTATAGTTGAAAACAGCCAAAAACAAACATGTCAACAGTTGCCACACACTAATGAACAATAAATCAGCCACACTTGAGGTCAACAGAACAAGCAGTTAGTGAGCGGTGAATAAATTCTAACATCCCATTTCTTATTAAGATGTGTGTTGGTAGTATTGCCGGAAAAGACAGTGAACGAACCCTCGAGATTTGTAAAATGTCCAATACACAAAAATGAAATGGTGTTCAGCATTCAAAAAGAACGCGACAATATGGTTTGTCATGTTAACATTTGGATAATTTCATATCTCACAAATATTATTGTTTCATGCATGTAGTGATTATTGTGAAATATCTGTTGTATCTTCAAGAAATAACGGTAGTTTATGTGTCAAACGAAAGATTACAGTTAGGAAAATATAAGGATACAATGACCCAAATGTCATATAATTACACCATAAAAATATAAACAATAATTCTTCACTAAATAATTCCAAACGTTTACAGTCCTCTTGATATTCTTCGTCTTTTTATAACAACCCAAAATATGAGCTGTTCGTTCTTATGTGTGTGTAGTTTCATTTTTTGATGTTAAAAGCTTGGTCTTGCATTTTGTTTTAAATACAATATTTTAGGCAGTCAGAATGGTTCTATTTACCGAATCGGTCCTATACGTGATAAAATGTATAGTCGCCTTCGTATAACTGAGAAAAATTTAATCCATCATCTTGGACCTATATGTGGTATGCCGCCTAAATCATGTTGGTGAGTCTTTTTTTATAATTCATTGTGGATTGGTTCTTATTTTGTATAAGTAGGACTTGTAAAAAGGTTGATTAATTTCCTCAAAATATCATTTCAGGTTTATATTACTAGATATGTATTATTAGTCTGAAAAATTAATATCTCTTACTTTTCTGATTAGATAGTCACATTATTGTCGAAATTCTGTACTTACCTATATCTAACCCTTTGATTATATATATAAAGGGAGAAAGTGACTTATTGTCGGAAGAGACTAGTTTCTTCATTACGTAGACTACTGTGCCACTAAGTTGGCTCTCTCTTTAAATTATTAGTAGTTATTAGTTTCATTGATGTTATGTTGGTGTACTTCTTACTGATGCGTAGCATTGGTTTGGGTTTCAGTTATTGAGTACCAGGAAGGAACCTCACTTCATCTACTTTGAGTCGATCATCTGCATAGTACCATTAGTCCTCACATCAAAGAGTATGGTTCAAAGTTAAACAACCGAGTTAGATTGTTATATTTGTGATTTCTTAGTCATTTAGTAATGATTTCAAACAAATATACAGGCTCTTCACCAGACCTCCAACAAGACAGAAAAATGTTCACTACTTCGTAGTTGGATAAGCAAGATTCATATCCATATCCTGGTTACTCTAAACTACGTCACCGAATATTTACTATCATGAACCTTTGTTTCCCCTTGAAGTCAAATACGAAGAATACAATTATTTGTATGGTTTGATATTAACCGCTTAACTTGATATATCTTGACCTTTTTATCCTGAGGTTTATTTCACTCTCTGTTCGTAACAAAACTACACTTTATAGTAGTTTTTGGTTGACTGATAACTCTTATCACTCAATACAATTAATTTATTTGCCTCAAAAAATCTTATTGTTTAACTAAAGGCGGAATAATATTCACTAATGTTTGTCATGTTACTCTTCTTTTCAGCCAAAATAGTGGTTCATCATACATAAGCTCAAATGTGTAGGAAAAAATCCAACCAACTAAAAATGCTTCATTAGTGATAATTTTAGTAATCAGTCAGCTGGTTGCATTCTACTACTTTTTCATATTCGGTTTTCGAATATATCTATATCTCAACAGTACGCATCCACAGCACTTGCGACCGATATTCGAACCCATAACCTTCATCTTGCACTTGAACGCTTAATCTCTGGATCACTGAGTTGGCATTCAACAGTGATGTCTAACTTCTGTCAATTCACGATATCACAAAACCCTCATTCATTACCTTTACTGAATAACTGCCTCGAACTCCACTAATAACAGATCCTCACCGTGTCGGGTATAAGGAGGGGATACCTACCGAGGACAATGGAAAATATTGGCTCTGTATCATGGATTGATTAAAGTTGAATTTGTACACCCTGGGATCCTGATTCAGTGGTCAGAACGAAACGGTTGTTTAGTGCTTCCATTTTTTCAGTGGTTGTCTTAGATAAATGAAGTTCAACAAGCCCTACAACTCCATACTGATAAATCTAAGTCTGTTCATTTTCTTCCCTCATCGTCATCTAGTACCATATGCACATATGGGAATTTCGCATAATAAATGATATTATGTCTACTTTTAGATAAGTAATCTGGTATCCTCTTTTTAATTCTTCAATAAGTAAAATTTCACATTTTAAAATATAAATTCGAATTTACAAAACCATTTCACAGCTATCTTATCTGTATATCATAAACGTGATCGTATGATAATAATGATTTGTACTTTAATGTGAATTTTCTCTAGGTCATATAATCGTCCTCAACCAGAATTAGCTAATCCATGCGGTAAAGTTGCAGACGGTGATTTAATTTGGCGTTATCTAACTTTACCACATTGTCAACGTTTAGAGATAGCTAAAAAATCCGGTCAAAGTTTAGAAAGTGTATGTTTATTATCTAATTTATTGTTTCCTTTTTTTTGAAGTTACCGGATATTTACAGTATGATATACTGAATAGAACAAATTTTATTAATTCCTTCTTAGTTTCTACACATTTCGTCTCTATGACACACGATCACATTTGTCAAATAGTTCTTACGACGAAAGTTCTAAGTGTTTTATTCCTCAATGTTTTGTGATTATTTCATACATAAAGGTGTCTATAAGTAGAAACATGAACCGTAATAACTAAGAAGGACGACGGTAGCTTTAGATTATTTCTAATCATTTGACGTTGTAGCACTTTATTTACTAGTAAACTATAACGGAAGCCCAAATAAGTCCACCTCTTTTGTTGTAAATCGCTTAAATAATGGATTCTTACAGAATGTCAGATTTTTATGAATTCACATAAATCCTACATGACGAAGTTAATTCATTTTCATGATATCTAATGACAATAAATTGCGTTATATCAAAATTTTATAGATGTGTTGTAAATACTTATCCACTGGGATTCAGTTTATTAACGTAACTTGACCATCTCGAATTCAACCTTTCAGTCCTATCGAAAGTCAAGTAATATACTTGATTTTCCATATATATCCAAATAATATAAGCTAATATTCAAGTGCTATCTTCACATACTAGAATGAAAACACTTTCTTGCTTCCGTTTTGATTAATATGTAGCACTGAATGTAAACTTGAAAAAAAAGTTCCGTAACTATCACACCTTATCTTTCTGTAGAGTAATCGATCAACCTAACAAATGTACCAATTACGGTCGAATTCGCTTTTCAATTTCCCCCTCTCAATCAATAAGGATTCCTCACCACTACGAGTGACAAATTCGTTCCATTTACAATTATGAAATAATTTGAAAATAGTCCGTCATTGAAAATGTTTTTGTGATTGCTTTTCAATGTATATCCTGACTAGTTTTTAAGTATACTTATTCAGTCAATAATTCTAAAATTCTATATGATATTTTCTATATCCATCATTATTTACATTCATGATAGTGATCTGTAGCATAAGTTATCATATAACTCCATGAGTATCCAATATATCCATTTACATAAATTAAGTTTTATTCAACTGATTGCTAAGTTTGCTAATATTTTGGAAATGAAACGTTAGCTTACTGGGTAAAGGGCTCGCCCTCCTTCCTATAGGTCACAGGTTCAAACTCTCATATCATAAAACTGGTTCTGGTTAGCAGCCGACTTCACGAAATTAATCATGGTTACTAAGATGAATGTGCTGGAATTCAAAAAGCGCCACCATAAGGAATGGATCACCTTCGATATCCTGGACAAGATTCAAGAAAGGAAGAACAAGAAGATAGCTATTAACAACAGCCAAACAAGAGCAGAGAAATTCGAGTCACAAACCGAATACACAGAAGCAAACATGCAAGTGAAGAGGAGCATGAGAGCCGATAAGTGGGAACATGTAGAAGACCTGGCAATGACAACGGAAAAAGCTGCAACACAGCAAATACGAGACAACTATATGATATAATGAAGAAACTAGCAGGGAAATACAGTAAACCAGAGAGACCAGTCACGGACAAAGAAGTCAAGCCAATCACTGAGATTCGAAAAAGAAACGGAGGAATAGGTGTGTAGAACACTTTGAAGAACTCTTGAATAGGCCAGCCCCACTGAACCCACCGGACATCGGGACAATACACACAGAAATTCCTATAGTTGTCACTCTCCTAACGATCGAAAGAATCAGCATGGCCATCACACGAATCAGAAGTGGGGAATTGGACGGACTAGACATTATACCAGCTGAAGCACTGAAGTCAAACATAGGGGCAACTGCAAAGATGATCCACGTTCTATTTGGGAAGCTTTCGAAGGAAGAACAGGTCTTGACAGACTGGGAAGAAGGATATCTCGTCAAGATACCAAAGAAAAGAGATCTGAGCAAGTGTGAGAACTACAGAAGCATCACACTACTATCGGTACTGGGAAAAGTTTCCAACCTTTGGTTTTCGATATAACTATATCCCACTAATATCTCAATATTGTCTGCATTTGCAAAGTATTACTTGAGTATTGGGTAGTAGTAGAATCCAGGATATGTGTTTCACCCTACTTACAACTCGTCAACTTGTTTCACCTTTATCCCAATGTTTTGCAGTTCAAACAGGAGAGCAATATGCCATGTTAGTCACCGACTTTTTCAATTCATATGACATCAATCACTGTAAGGGTTTCTGTGTTATCTCAAAATGGAACAGAATAAATCAGAATTAATTTTGTTCTAAAACTTTTTTTCGTAGCTATCTCTAAAAGTGGTTTTTCCAATTACGGCAATACGAATCGAGACATTGTTGTATTTGGAATAAAGTATCGTATTGTTTCTATCAAACCTTATATTTAAAGAAAATGAACGATTACGTGATGTTCATACTGTTTACTCATTGTTTTGGTTTTTTAGATAATGGATGATATTGCAGAATTGATTGCAACTACATTGCATTTCTGATGTTTATTTACGTACTTCATCTAATCAATGCTCTGTTGTATCATCTCAACTGTATTTTACTAATATCTTCTGTTTCTCGTATCTTTTTCAATGTTTATGGCCCATATCATCATCAAACGAGAAAGAACATTTTGCGTACCACGAAATATTTTTGAATTAAAGAACTGTTAAATAAAAGTTATTTTGTGTACAGTTTTTTATATAGGATGTTGTTGAAGTTATATATATATATAGAAGTTTGTTGTGCCAAGTTTCTAAATCTTTTAACTCTATAAAAAACTCGGAATATTCATATCCTCCTGAAAAACAACGTTGCGAAGTTACAAAGGGTTTTTCAGGAAACACTGTTTACTCAGTTTGATGTAATTAATATTGTAGGATTCTATAGCATATTATGAATGCTTTTGATAACTGACCATACTTTCTGATACTTTCCTTCGTGTTTTCTTTATTTTTCAAATACAATTGATTAGATAATACTAACTTGTTAAAGGTAGCAATTTTACAAATCATGAAGACTTTATATGATCGTGCTGCGTGGAAAAAATCAATCAGTTCAGTTAAGTACTCTAGAAGGAATAATGGTGGTCTTTTACAACCATAGTGTCAGTAGTTGACCATCATATAAATTATTTCAGGCCAAATATGCATGGATAAACGAATCCCCCAGATAGTTAATACTGACTGCATTAAGTTGTTGTGTGCATCAGGCTTTGGAAGATAATCTCTACGATCTTAATTTCGTATTTGTAAGTCTAACTATAGTATATATCAGGTACTTTTATTATCGAGCCTGGAATCAACATTCATAATAGTAGACACCAATGCCACAGTGGCAAAAAAATACAGTTATAGATTCATAATTTGTAGCTTGGATTTATTTGATAATTCATAAATCAACTGTGCACTTTTCCGTTGATTATGTCCCCCTTATCCAGTGATTATCAGGATGTTACAGTTAATAATTAAAGCTTGAATGAAACCCATCGTTTTGAAACAAACAAGTTAGATTGAGTGTTGAAGTATAACTTTAAGAAAATAACCTTCTAGTGTCCAACGGCTACTCCGGATAGGCTGAAACGTCAAATAACAGCGATTCGCAAAATGAAAATTATGACTGCAATAGTTACAGTTTTCCAAAATATTAGAGGAAACAAGTTTAAAACTAGATAATATACATTGGAAAAATACAAAACTAATCCGTTCACAATTGAGATTACCAAGAGAATATTATCGACTTTCATTTGTTGTGCGAAGGGCAGATATTGACATGCCTTCAAATCTCAGCACAAAGTCACTTCTAAAGTCCTCTACACTTTTTATTCAAATACAAGAAAGTAACAAGTTGTACTCTCATAGAAATCACGCGTTTACATACCAGTCATTGTATCAGATTACTGAAGTGTGTACGTACCATTCACTTGAAAATAAAATTCACTTCTATCCTAGTTCCTGTCATAACACTGCATTTCTGATTTACTCTGTGGTAAATAGTTCAAGTACAAATTAGTAAGCTTTTCTTCACTTCTAACTTCGTATAATTCTCGAGAGCCGATTAAAAAGTTATTAAGGCAATAAACAACTAATTGTATACCCTATATTAACATTCGAGTACAGCGCTCAGTAAATTATGATGTAATTAATATTCCAATAACATAATTGTCGATAGACTAGGTAAGCATTTTTTTTTCTGAAGGTTACTAGTTCCTGTCATTATAAGTCCTTATTCGACTTTGATTATTTTCCCTACATTATTCATATAACCTCATTAAAATTTACCATGTTTTATTTGACATGAAATACAAACATCTACATTTATTTAAGTATCAATTTTATCGTGAAATAAAATGCTTAATACCTACGATTCATTAAACGACTGTTATTTTTTACTTCTGAAATGCTTTGTAGCCCGAACCATTAACATGTTAAGTAATAAGAATTAAAAATTAATGTTCACTTGTTACCGATATTGGGTCAATAAATTAAAATCTAGTATTGGTCATTCTCATCCTTTATATAATGTAAAGCTGTCTATTATCTTCACCGTAAAGTGTTAACGGTCAACTTAAAGTTACTTACAACTGTTCTGTTAAGATTTTATTATTCGAAGGTAGATCAAGGGGTCTCGTTTTGTCACAAACTGACTGCACTTTAAAATATGGACTACTGGTCAGGTAACTGAACAGTATCACGTTTACAACAAGACTTGAGAGTCCCATTTAAGGTCGTCAATGTTCATGTACTTACAATTCGCAAAACGATAATGAAACACCTAACCAATACCCCGTGATATCATTGGTTCTCTAATGTTCATTTGTGACGAAAATTACCCTTGAAATCTATTTTTTGTTGAGCTACAGTATCAACTTTCTTCAAGCTTGGTGTAAAACATACAATTAGACCTTATCAGATATTTTCAAGATGACGGTGAAATTATCGAATGAACGAAAAATGTGACACTTGAAATTGAAGATAAACCAAAACGTCTAAAATATCTTCTCAGAAATTTGAAAAGTTTATAGCGTATATGTAATAATCCCTACTAATACAAATAGTTTTAATTAGTCAGTATTCGATAGTTTACATTTCTAACTTCAAACATTTTGCGATTGCGCGTAAACAATATTCAGTGTCACTGCTTCGTCGTCTTCTTAGTTATTCCTCTTTTCTTCATAAACTTAAAAAAACATTGTCGTGTTGGCAAAAGTAATCAAATTCCTAGCTTGTGGTATGGAATATAATAGTGTTGGACTGGACTGAATAATACGAGTGAGTACACTAGACTACGACACAAGATATGCGCATACACAATATCCGACTGACAGTCTGAGAATCAGACGATAAATCAAAATCACAGTTTATCGACACATAGTATAGAGAATTAACGGAGTGAAATCCGAATAGAATTACAGCGAAATCAATCTTTTACATATAGCAATAGCCTGTATACTTAATATTTGTCTTTATTTCCTCAGAGACCATCCAAATATTACTTTCACTGACAACACATCAAAACACTGAGTAACGTAGAAGCTAAATTGAAAAGAATGTTAAGAGCCCATTTTTCGGTATAGAACGATTTAAGACAGTCTTCAGCTGTTTCAAAAATAACAGTCAGTTATTTCAGTCAGCAGATGACCTAGATTTAAATCCATCATGCAGAACTTGTGATAGGCTTTAGTAAATATTTAGTAGTTAATTGGTCCATAATAGTCATTACGTCTCATATTGTAAACAGGATCCCAAGCAACTCGTCTTCAAATAGGAATCCGTTATTTTGCTACAAAGCATTATAAATACATTAAACGATAACTTAGTAGCCATGAATCCAACTCAACTATAAAAGCAATGTCTCATTGTTTGTTGTGACCTTAGTTGTTGCCACGGATTAACTTATTCCTAACAACCATCTACACTTATTATGTTGGAAATTGAGAGTATTCATAGGTATCCAACCGAGTCAGTGAATGATAACGTACTCATTTTGAGATTCGAGGGTTCAGCGTTTAATAAATCCAGTATAAGGGATTTGAGTGGAGGGATTCACAGTACTAATGAATTCCGAAATAGAATAAAACAACTATTCAGTACTCATGGTTTTCTTTAAGTTTCTCAAGTGATCTCGTTTCTTGATGAGAAACACAAATCATTTTTAGTAAATATGAATATTCTTTCTTCATGTTTATAAATTCCATTATAAGTTCATCATTCACAACTTCCGTCAATGAAGTTCACAATTAAAAAGTAAATTAAGATTTATTTATATAATATGAACTTAAACGATCCAACATTACATCCCATAACTTGATAGAAAATCATGTTATGTTTGCTTATTGTTTTTGTTTTTATCATTAGTATTTACGTTGTGTATGTTTTACATACAAGCAAGTATTCTTATTTAATAATAAAATTACTACATGAAAGTTGCAAGTAAAGGAGTAGAATATTAAACTAAAATCATTAATTGTCATATTCTTTTAAAGACGTTAATCCATTGTGATAAATGATCATGTTTGTAACCGAAAAATTAGAATGACAGTAGGTAACGTTCTCATCAAAGAGATTACTATCCGGAGGAGATAATTCAGTCAGCAAAGACTGGCAGTTAGTTCAAGTAAATGCTAAACAGGCAAGGAACTGGACAGTAACTGATCAATTACATTGGATGACTGTTGTACTATTATTTATTTAAACACAAATATATAAGTTCAAAGGGGCACCAGATACATACGCCCCACACAATAACAATGAGAATGTGAAGAAAAAAAATGTAAGGTGCTCATAAGAAAAAGGGGAACAATAGCGAACAGAAATTAGCGTATTAAAGTGAAATAATCGGAAAGGTAGTTCAGATAACAAAGGTACAATCAGAAATTCTTTCAGTTCAAGAAGTTACGTCAATTGTTTATAAAGTAATAGAAAGTTACAGCAGAATCTCCACTAGCTTCTATTCTGAACCATATCCCGTAACGTCTCTATCCACTGTGTTGCACCATCTCTAGGACCCCAACCAGGGAGTCGCGAAGAACCAACAGAAGCCAGTCCTGTACAGCTATCTTTCATACCACAACACAATGTCACACACTGACCACCTCTCCACCTTTTCCAGCCAGTCTAGAGTCGGCAAATAATGCATGACGTGGAATTCACTGGGACGACATTCGTAAAACATGCCCAAGTTCCGAAAGTCGATGTTTGAAGATAGCGAAACCAACTGGATTATCGTCTCTGCGCAAGAATACACGATGCCGAACCTCTGCATTACTAACATGGTGTCGCCACTGGATGTCAGTAATCATTCAGAGACAACGATGATCAAACACAGAGAGTCGTCTAACATCCTCAACTCGAAGAAGTCAGGTTTCACAAACACACAGCAGAACTGCTCTCACCGACGCGTTTTAGATCCGACCTTTTACAGCCAGACTAACATCGCGAAGGCGCCAAAGATGACCCAGATTGGCAAAAGTCGCTCTGGCTTTCAATATATGTGAATTGAT